CAGAAGCGTCCCAGTAAGCCTTCTTCCTTTCTCTGGCCTCTGTCTTGCACACCTGCTTGAAGATCAGGGGAAAATGCGCTGTTGGCGCCTGTGAGGAGTGTCTTGCGTGCCTCCTCCCTGCACCCCCAGCGCGCTGCTAAGTTCATGGCTTCCCATGAGGGCAAACCTCACCTGGCGCAGGCAGCTCGTGCTGAGCCTGCCTCGTCCCCACAGCAGGTACAGGTGGCTTTTCTTCAGCTTTGTTAGTGTTGCCGTCATTTTATTAAACTTGATGATGTGGAAATCTTCCAGTATATCAAGGGAGAGGTGAGTGCAGTTCTCATTCAACTTCAACAACACTCCATTCATGACCAGGCTTGACGCCTCTCTCCTCGCCCGCACCTCCACCCCCAGTTATTTTGAAACAGATGCCAGGCTTCATCCCCCCCCCCACCCCCCCACCCCCCGCCGTCAGCTGGTTTGGAGTTGCTCCGAAGTGAAGTTTGCTCGCTGGTGGTCGTGTGTGTAGTGGGGGAGTCACTGCGTAGTGGGGGAGTCACTGCTTCGGTCTCCTCCACTGTCTCCTCCTCTGTTTCCTTTTTCTTTCTGGAACGTGTTTATTTCTGTTGATAACCACCGCCACCAGAGAAAGTTTCCTGTGTCCATCACGTCCAGCCAGTCTTGTCCAAGTATGCTCTTTGAAGGGGGCTGTGAAAGTTGAGTGTACAAAAATGTCACTGTTGTATTGGGGGGATGTTTCATACTCAGAAAGTGTTTGATTTGGGCCACAGATATGTAGCTACATGGTAGAGTACTTGAGCCTTACAATATAAATAAATAATTAAATATGAAATAAACAAGCCTACCCTTTTCTTGTGTCTCTCTGTTTCTCTCTGTGTGTGTAGCCCAGACTGGCCTCCAACTTGCTATCCAAACAAAGTTGGCTTTGAACTCTTGGTTTCCCAATTCCCAAGTGCTGGGTTTATGGGTATGTGCTATCATGCTTGGCTTTTTTTTTTTTTAATTTTTCGAGACAGGGTTTCTCTGTGTAGCTTTGCGCCTTTCCTGGAACTCACTTGGTAGTCCAGGCTGGCCTCGAACTCACAGAGATCCACCTGGCTCTGCCTCCCGAGTGCTGGGATTAAAGGCGTGCGCCACCACCGCCCGGCTTTTTTTTTTTTTTTTTTTAATGTTTATTAGTTCATTTATTTGCGTGTGTGTGTGTGTGTGTGTGTGTGTCTTTGGAAATGTGTATGCCACAGCATTTAACATGTGAAGGTCAAAGGATAACTTGTGACAATTTTCTCTCTGTACATGTAGGACCTAGGGATCAAATTCTACTCAGCCATTATTAACTCAGCCATCTTGTCTGCCCCTCCCCTCTAAATTTAAAAATAAAATCTTGGGAGCTAGGGAGATGACTCTGTTGATGGTTGGTAAAGTACCCACTGTGTAAGCATGAAGACCTGCGTTTGATCCCCAGCACCCACATAAAAACCTAATGTAGCCGTGTGCACTATAGTCCAGTGCTGAGAGCAGGAGCTGGGAGGCTTACTGGGCCTTCCTGGCCAGCTGCTTCATCCGGGTCAGTGAGCTCAAGGTTCAGTGAGACATACTATCTCAAAAAATAAGGTGGGGAGCCTGCAAGGTAAGGTTCAGCGGGTCAAGAAAGATGCTTTCTGTTTGAGTCCCAGGAGCCAAATAAGGTGGATGGAGAAAACCAGCCTAATGAGTTTGTCCCTAGACCTCCACATGGGCACTAAGGCATACATTCCTCACACACACACACACACACACACACACACACACACACACACACACTGAAATGATGAGGGGGAGGTGGAAAGTTGTTGACCTCTGGTCTTCACACACGTGTGCACATACATATGAACACACAATAAGATAAAGCCATGGCCCATGCTTTGGTAAAGATAAAATTCAAGTAATAGCAAATGGTATGATATTTGTTTTTGTGGTTCTGGGGATTGAACCCAATGTTTCACACATGCTAGGCAGGTGCTCTTCCCACCAAGCTGTACCCCCGATCACACCCTAGACATTCTTTCATTAATTGCTGTCGGTCCCTTATTTCTAGAACAACTATTGTTAGTATTCCTTACAGCTCCTTCCAGAATGTGTATATGTGTGGTGATATATTGTGTGCCCTAATAAGATTTGCCTGAAGATCAGAGAACAGAACAAACCACTAGATTAAACATAGAGGCCAGGCAGTGGTGGCGCACACCTTTAATCCTAGCACTCAGGAGGCAGAGATCTGTCTGGATCTCTTTGAGTTCAAAGCCACCCTGGACCACATGAGATTGACTCAGTCTAGGAGAGAAACAGAGCCGGCAGTGGTGGCGCACACACCTTTAATCCTAGTATTTGAGATCTCATGCCTTTGCTTGGGAAGTCATACACCTTTAATCCCAGCACTAAGAAGGAAGTGATATGGTGGGTGGAGAAAGGCATATAAAGTGTGAGGAGACAGGAACTAAAGGCTTTTCAGCTGAGGAACCCCTTTGGCTAGAAGCCCTTTCGGCTGGAGCTCTTCCAGGCTGAGGAGTTGGTGAGGTAAGAGGTGGTGGTTGTGGTTTGTTTGTCTCTGATCTTTCAACATTTAACCCAATATCTGGGTCTGGGTTTTTATTAAAAAAACCATTTAGAATTTGTGTTACATATATGTTTGACATTTTCTGTTTCTTTAAAGCCACTAGGCAGAAATTGATTTTAACTTTGGAAAGAGCAAGAAGCATGTTGTTTTGCAAGGGATGAGATGGGAGATGGTACAATATTGACGTCCAGGTTCTATTGACGGAACATTAGTTTCACGTTGCTGAAAGGAGCATTGAGCAGTCTCTGCACTCACCAGCAGCCCTGTGGACCTGTGAAAGTCCACACTAGTACCATCCAGTAGAAATACAACGTGAGCCACTTATGTGATTTTAAATGTCCTAGGAAAAAGGGAAATCAGTTTGTAGTGCATTCTTCTTAGTGAATTCTACCCAGAATGTTATTTGTTCGAGGTACTAGGTGTTGGACCCAGGATCTTGTGAACGTTTAGGCAGGGGCTTTGCCCCTAAGCTATAGCTCAGCCCACTTCTGACTTGTTATTTTGAAACAGAATCACTAAATTTCCCAGCCTGGCCTGCACTTGCAGTCTTCCTGAGTAGATGGGACCATAGGCCTGTACTATCAGGCCTGGCTCCCAAAATACTATTGGAATATCTAGGCAGTATAAAATAATGACAACATTCCCTCCTGTTCATACTAAGTTTTCAGAGTCCACTCACAGCACAACTCAGTGTGGACCAGCTTGTCTCCAGAGATCCCTGAGCACACATGGACTAGCCAGCCCAGCCCTCCAGGGCTGTGGTTCTTTTCTGCAGGAGAGGAAAAGGGTGGAATATGGTTTCCATTTTGTTCTTTATTTTTTTTGATGTAGCGTTATTTATGTCAGTATTTCTTGCTTCTGGGGTTTGGTTTCTGTTGTAGACCAGTAGGTTTCCTAGTGACTGTACTGAGAAGGACTGCATAAGAGGTTGATTGGACCATGGGCCTGGGTACCAGGTGTTTGTAAGGGTCTACACTTGACTGTAGCTAGCAAGGGGGAGTTCTTTTGCTCCACCCGTTAGCATTGTTATAAATAGAGCTTTGGAATAAAGTTCTGGGCCCTGTTTGGATAAGGATCCAGGCCCACTCCAGTCTATCCTGCGTTTCTCTGTTTCTCTCCCCTCTATTTCTAACTAAATCTCTTCTTCCTCAAGAGTCCCTGGGGTAAATAATGATGGGGGCTGGTCCCCCACATGTTTCATGTGCATGAGCACTTGCTCTGACTCTGCTTTTGCCTCTCATACTGAGTGCCAGCTCTGGCCCAGTGTTATCGCTAACATCGGTACTTAAAGAAAGAGCCAGAGGCTGGAGAGATGCCTCAGTGGTTTAAGAGCACTGGCTGCTCTTGCAGAAGATTCGGGTTCGGTTCCCAGCACTCACATGGCAGCTCACAGAAGGTCTGATGACCTCTTCTGCCCTCTACAGGCAGCATGCACATGATGCAGGCAAAACACTCCCATAGTCAGGCGGTGGTGGTACATGCCTTTAATCCCAGCACTCAGAGGAGGCAGAAGCAGGTAGACCTCTGTGAGTTCCAAGCCAGCCTGGTCTACAGAGCAAGATCTAGGACAGGCACCAAAACTACACAGAGAAACCCTGTCTTGAAAAACCAAAAATAAATTAAGTAAATGAATGAATGAATGAATAAATCTTTTTTAAAAATCAACTTATTCTTTCTTACAAAATCAACAATATTAATAACTGATACTTCTGTATAAAGGTAATAATTTGCCAGGCGGTGGTGGCGCATGCCTTTAATCCCAGCACTCAGGAGGCAGAGCCAGGCAGATCTCTGTGAGTTTGAGGCCAGCCTGGTCTACAGAGCAAGATCTAGGACAGGCACCAAAACTACACAGAGAAACTCTGTCTTGAAACTCCCCCCCTCCCAAAAAAAAGGTAATAATTTTGGTGAGCTTGAAGTCTTAGCCAGTAGACAATGCCCTTTGGTAGTTAAGTTTATTTATGAATATTCGATTTCTTGCTGTTGTTTTTGTTTTTGAGACAGGGTCTCTATTTTGTAGCTCTTGCTGCCTTGGAACTCACTATGTAGACCAGGATGGCCTCACACTCACAGAGATCCGCCTGCCTCTGCTGGGTTGAAAGGCATGCACCACCACATCATGAATATTTGAAAGACTAAATAGTACGCAGATGATTTAGGGGTGTTGAACAGAGATGCTCGTACAGGGATGCTCTTGAGTGAGGCTGCATGGGCATAGTGGGGGTGAGCTATGAGGGTGAGGTGGAGTAAGGGTTGCTGGGAAGTTGGTGACAGCGGTTTCTTGGTTGGTTTGGGCAGTACTAGGGAGCCTAATTTGGGACCTTATGTGTGCGAGGCAGCAGCTCTGCCACTGAGCTGCGTTCTCAGTCAATGGCAGTGGTTTTCAGAGCACTTTTTTCTGTTTCAGGAGTTGCAGATGGCGTTGGAGGATGGAGAGACTATGGAGTGGACCCATCTCAGTTCTCAGGGACTTTAATGCGAACATGTGAGCGGTTAGTAAAAGAAGGACGCTTCGTTCCCAGCAACCCTGTTGGGATTCTCACCACGAGCTACTGTGAATTGCTGCAAAACAAAGTACCTTTGCTGGGTGAGTAGACGACTGTGCCTCCTCACACCACTCACTAATGGCTAAACAAGATCTTACCAGTGACCCAGGCTGGCCTCGAACTCAGAGAGCTTCGCTGCCAATGGTGCCTGGCATTCTCAATTGCCAGAACCTTTCTGGTCACCAGAGGGCCTCCCTTGACATAAGATGTCCCTTGCCTTGGGTTTGAGCCTTTCACAGAGGCTGTTTCTCACCACCCCCTTCAGTCTTCCAGAAGCAGCTTTAGCTTCCTCCCACCAGAAGCTCTCCTGGGGTTCCGCATGGTGCTGCTTTTCCCACTTCCTCTTCAAGTTCGTATTTTATTAGTGGTACTATGGGTGCATGCCCAGATGTGGAGGTCACAGGGCAACTCAAGGGAGTCCATCTTTTCCTTCTTCTGTGTGGATCAAACTCAGGTGGCCAGCAGACACTTTACCTGCCCAGCCATCTCAGCAGTCCCCTGCCCTCTTCTTATTACTACATTTTATTTATTTCTTTGTGTGTGGGGTCACGCGAGCCACAGCACATATGTGGAAGTCAGAAGACAGCCTCCTGGAATAGGTTCTCTCTCTCCAGCACTCAGGTCCTGGAGCTGAGGTGCAGGCTGACAGGGCCTCTACTGCTCCTCTTGCTGTGCTCAGTCTGTGCTTGGGTCAATGGGACAGTCTAGATTCTGTCCTAGGACCTGTGTCGGAGCTGTAGGACTGTGGATAAGTCACTGTGAGTGGAACGCAGTCTCCTAGGCAGTTTCCAGAGTGTTCCAGGGAGTGGGCACCATCTCTCCAGCCCTGTTGTCTACTTAGACATAGGGTAGCTAGTTACAGCATAGAATATCCTGCTTTTTTGTTGCCAAAAGTTTGAATTGGGGAGGGGAGAGCTGATTATTTTCTGCACATTTTCTTTCCTTCCTTTTCACTCCATGTAACTTGGAGATAGTAATAAATAAATTTAAGGACATATTTGAAGTTTACTTATAACGTTGGGATTACTGTTTCTTCTAAAATCCTTTGTTGCAATGTTTGGTGTGCATACACCTCCCTGACCTGACCCATACACCTCCTGGGCATTTGCAGCTGAACTGGAGCAGGTCTGGCCGACCGACTGCTGAATTGACTGAACCTTGTTACGTGGAATCGTAAACAAGATGGTTACAGTCTGCTTTGATTTTAAGTTATTTTATTACTCTTATGTGTATGTCTCTGTGTGTCATGTGTAGGTGCTTGTGGAGGCCAGGAGTTACACAGGGGTTGTGAGCCACTCTCTGTGTGTTCTGGGATGGAGCTCAGGTCCTCTAGAAGAGCTGGGTGCTCTTAACCATTGAGCCATCTCCCCAGACTGCCTTTGCTTTCTGATTCAGCAATTCCTAAAGAGCCTACAAAGCAAGTCTGCTCTAAAGGGCAAGCCTTTATTGTTGATGTAAGGGTCCTCAGAAACCCTTACATACAGGAGTAAGTTCTCAAGTATCTGAATGGTCGCTGCCCATGGTGGCGCACGCCTTTAATCCCAGCACTTGGGTGATAGAGGTAGGTGCATCTCTGAGTTTGAGACCAGCCTGATCTACAGCGCAAATTTCAGGCCAGCCAGGGCTGTACAGCGAGACCTGGCCTTAACAAAAGGGGTGGGGGGAGTCTTGTAGTTGGTGCTCTAACACAGTTAGAGCACAGGTCTAGCATGCACAAAGCTGTTCAGTCCCCAGTACCACAAAAGAAAAGAAGCTGAGGGGTCAGACCTAGTAAGGTTGTATTATATTTGGCTGAGAGATTTAACCTGAGAGAGTTGCCCAGGCACCTGCTGGTATGGGTCAGTCATCTGAACACTGACCCTCATCTTCAGCCCCTCCTGTGCCCTCGGCAGTCACTTGGGAGGAGTGTAAACTGCAGGCTGCACATGCCTTCTTCGTTCATTGTTCCTGCCCTGGCCCTGAGAGCCCATCATCACTCCCAAGGACCATTCTCATTCCACGGGGGCATGAGATGGTGGCCTGGGGTGGTCACAGTGAGTCATCGGGTGTTTCCCGAGGAGCAGCTCCAGGGCTGTGTCGTTCCTCATTCCATTTGATTCCATTAAGATTTAATGCCATCAGCTTCCAGAAGCTGATGTGTAGCCATTTTGTAATGAGGAGTGGTTGAAGGCATTTAAGAAGGAAAACTGGCTATGCAGTGGGTCTTGGAGAGGCTCTGACGGCACTCTCACTGGTGACAGCACCCACGTTTCCTTCTCGTCGGCACTGAAGGACTGTCAAGGTCACTATTAATCAGTCTGCTTGAGGTAACAAGGAAGCTGAACTGCCGACCATTAATGATGAAATGTGCTGCATTAATTCTTTACATTCAGTTGCACATTTTCATTGAGACAAAGTAGCAAATATCCGGAATCCCTCTGAGAAAACTGAATACTAGTCACATCTGCACTTCTCTTTTCCTTCCACGTGTCTGTGCACAGAATGGTGGCACACAGTTTGAGTGTGCTCTGCTTTACACTGGTGAGGCAGGCACACAGGAACTCTCTGTCCACAGCTGGCTAGGAAGAAACTTGGGCTGAGTGGCTTGCCTGTGGTGCACAGCTGGAAAGCAGCGCGGTGGGATTCACTGAGTTTCTCCACAGTCCATTTGCTTGCTTTAGCTTTTTCTTCTTCCTAAAAAGAGAGGGTCTTATGCAGTCCAAGCTGGCCTCAGACTCAGTGTGTGGCTGAACCTCGTGCCTGCACCTCCCGAGTAAGTGTTGGGATCACAGTTGTGGGCCCCACATCTGGTTTACATGATGCTGGTGACTGAACCCAGGACTTGGTGCATGACCAGAGAGCACTGGACCAACTGAGCTACATCTCAAGCCAATACTGGCTTTGTTTTTTTTTTTTTAAGATTTATTTATTTTTTTAAGACTTATTTATTTATTATATATACAGTATTCTGCCTGCATGTATGCCTGCACACCAGAAGAGGGCACCAGATCGCATTATAGATGGTTGTGAGCCAACATGTGGTTGCTGGGAATTGAACTCAGGACCTCTGGAGGAGCAGTCAGTGCTCTTAACCTCTGAGCCATCTCTTCAGCCTGTTTTTTTTTGTTTTTTTGTTTTTTTTAATTTATTTACTTACCTTGTGTATATGTGTGTGCCGAGTGTATATGTGTATCCACAGAGGCCAGAAGAGAGCATTGCATGGGTCTATTGGAACTGGAGTTCCAGACAGTCATGAGCCAGCATGTGGGTGCTGGGAATCAAACCTGGGCCTTCTGGAAGAGCAGCCAGTGCTCTTAGCCAGTGAGCCGTCTCTCCAGTCCCCAATGCTAACTTTTAATCTGCTTGTTTCACTTTCCTTCCCTTTCCAAGGGTATTCCTTAACACTTTCCTAATGGCTGTCATTGCATAAGCCTGCTTGAAGGGTTTCTCCTCGTGAGTTTCTCTGTGAGGGGTGTACTCTTAGTCCTGTTTCTGTGAACGGGGAAGCTGAGCAGAGCTGGACCGCACAGCTTGGAAGTGGCAGAGCTGGGGTTCAGATGCAGATGGACTGACCACTGTTCCCACTGCTGAGTGTTGAGTAACAGTACTTACCTATTTCTGTGCAGATCCTGAGTGCTGGACTGTGCTCAAGCTTGTGAGTCTCAGGTCTCTAAGCTGCCTGCCCGCCTGCCCGCCCTAGTGGCACAGGGAGACGTGTGGCTCACTCCTAGTTGGCTCTTGGGCAGTGTTTTTATCTTTCAGTCTGATTTGTATTTCTTACTGTTTTTTGGTTTTTCGAGACAGGGTTTCTCTGTGTAGCTTTGCGCCTTTCCTGGATCTCGCTCTGTAGACCAGGCTGGCCTCGAACTCACAGAGATCCACCTGGCTCTGCCTCCCGAGTGCTGGGATTAAAGGCGTGTGCCACCACCACCCGACTCTTACTGTTTTCTTTTTTTTTTTTTTGTTTTTTTTTTTTAAAGATTTATTTATTTATTATGTATACAGTATTCTGCCTACATGTAGGCTTGCAGGCCAGAAGAGGGCACCAGATCTCATTACAGATGGTTGTGAGCCACCATGTGGTTGCTGGGAATTGAACTCAGGACCTCTGGAAGAACAGCCAGTGCTCTTAACCTCTGAGCCATCTCTCCAGCCCCTCTTACTGTTTTCTTACTCGACTCCTTTCAGATAGACCTGCTGGATAAAGAGTGTGTACATTTTTCAGAGCTCTGTGACTTGTAGATTCATTTTACCCAGTGCCTCCCCAGAGGAAGGGTGAGTGGGTTCTCTGCACGCTGCCCAGCCCTGCGTTACCTTCCTACGGTTCTTGGTGATAACCTCAGAGAACCGGCTGTCTGTATTGTTGCACAGACACAGGCATGTTCCGTTTGTTCCTTGGTGAGCTGCATCTTCTTTTTTTTTTTTTTTTTTTTTTTTTTGGTTTTTCGAGACAGGGTTTCTCTGTGTAGCTTTGCGCCTTTCCTGGAACTCACTTGGTAGCCCAGGCTGGCCTCGAACTCACAGAGATCCGCCTGGCTCTGCCTCCCGAGTGCTGGGATTAAAGGCGTGCGCCACCACCGCCCGGCTCTGGAGAGATGGCTCAGCAGTTAAGAGCTGCATCTTCTTATGGTGGAGGCAGGTGCAGTTTTTGCTGCAGTCAGCCAGGCCGGAGACTGTGCGCCTGGTTCCGTCTCTGAGAAGTAAGCAGATGATCTGCAAGCCTCTGGTGTCCACACCGTGAGCCGTCAGGCTCCAGAAAGTGCTTCACGGCTTCCGCAGATGGTGTCTGCTTTAGAAGGCTGGTTATGAGCCGGATGGTGGTGGTGCATGCCTTTAATCCCAGCACTCGGGAGGCAGAGGCAGGTGGATCTTTGTGATTTCGAGGCCAGCATGGTCTACAGAGCAAGATCCAGGACAGGCACCAAGGCACCAAAACATTACAGAGAAACCCTGTCTCAAAAAACCAAAAAAAAGCCGGGCGGTGGTGGCGCACGCCTTTAATCCCAGCACTCGGGTGGCAGAGCCAGGCGGATCTCTGTGAGTTCGAGGCCAGCCTGGTCTCCAAAGCGAGTTCCAGGAAAAGCGCAAAGCTACACAGAGAAACCCTGTCTCAAAAAACCAAAAAAAAAAAAACCAAAAAAAAAAGAGAAGGCTGGTTACATCGCTGTCTTAAATGTTAGTGAGTTTGGTGAAGTCTTGCTGCTGTGACTAGAGAATAGCGTCAGGTGAGGTACCCTTGTTCCAGTGATGAAGTATTAAAACACAGTGACCTGCTTTGGGGCCTTTGGAAGTGCCGCACCCTGGCACTGTAGGAGGAAGAGTGTGCACCTTGGGGGCCCGCCTGCTGTGCTCCGCACCCCTTGTCCTCCGCACGTCAGCCCTGCTTAGGTTACTGCTGAGGTTCTTGGGTATTGGGCAGAGTAGGGTGGTCCCATAGAAACAAGATTCAGACCACAGCTGCTCCCTAGAGTTGAGTGATGCTTGGCAGCAGCCCAGGGGAGACAGTGAGCAGATGCCCATTTTGTTTGTAGGTAGCAGCACAGCCTGCATCGTGGTACTGGACAGAAGTAGCCACCGCTTGCACACGGCCAACCTGGGTGACTCGGGCTTCTTGGTGGTCCGGGGCGGCGAAGTCGTGCACCGGTCTGATGAGCAGCAGCATTACTTCAACACTCCATTCCAGCTCTCCATCGCTCCCCCGGAGGCTGAGGGGGTCGTCCTGAGTGACAGGTAATCTTGCCGCCCTTCCCTGGAGCAGGATGTAGCTTGCCACAGTTGCCTCCTGTCCTCTTGAGGATAGGCACTTTTCCTGTGAGAAACTGCCCGTCCACAGGAGAGCTAGAGGGGCCTTTGCAAGGAGTTTAGCTCAAACGGTATCACAGCTGAGCCAAGTTGTTCTAAACATACCGTCACATGAAAGGGTTGTGCAGAGCACTCAGCATAATGGGAGTGCAGGGTGTGTTAACTGCACTGGGAGCCGAGCTGCTCAGAGGCCTCTCCCTGTGCAGGTTTTCATCATTTCTAGGGGAGCACAGGCAGATGTCTGTCCTGTCTGTCAGATCACTTCCCACTCAAAGGTGCTCTTCATACATACACCAACAGAAGTGAAGTGTCAGACCTGCTTCCATCCCTAATGGGGTCACTCGGGTGTTCTCTTTCTTGCTGATTGCGAATGTCTCTTAGTTTATTTTTAAACTTCCAGGAACCTTTCCAAACAACTGGAACACTTTACATTGAAGTTTTAGTTGCTCTTTTTTGTAGACTAGAGTAAGGCTAAGGCTCGAACCACACTTAGCTTGGCCACCTTAGGGGCTGCGAGTGCTTACTGGCAATCCCCCATGAGTTCTTCTGTGAGGAAACTCTTGGCAAATGCTCTTGGTGCTTATTCCTTTCTTTTCTGCCTATTACCTCGCAGGGAGCCAGATCTTAAGGTCAAACTATCATAAAATGGGTATTTCTGCCATCTTTGGCTTTAGAGTGAGGATATCCTATAATTAAGTATTTGGTATTGTCCGTTTAAATAATCTGCTTGCTAGGTAGGCTTGCACCTGTAATCCTGGCACTCAGGAGGCTAAGGCAGGAGGATTACCAGTTTGAGGCCAGCCTGGGCTATATTTAGCAAGACCCGGCCTTAAAAAAGTGAGTGTTGATGCCGACTCGTAGAGAGAGGGAAGTGCTTTGAGCTTTCAGGTCAAATTTCAGGCCGATTGCCTTAGTGGGAAGAGCATCTGATGAGACATTTTACTGTAGTTTTAAAATATTTATTTATTTTGTATGTTTGGAGGTGGTGTGTGTGTCATGGCACAGGTGTGCAGGTTGGTTCTCACCTTCCAGCATGTGGGTTCCCAGGATTAATCTTGGGTGTCAGGTTTGGCAGCAGGTGTCACCCCGGAACCCCTCTCTGAACCAGCTCTCGTGTGTTATCGAGTGGGTTGTAATACACAGGAGCCAGAACCATTTGGAGTGAAGGCCTCAGTAGATACCAAGCTCCACTGACAGCTTCTGGATCATGGCTTCCTTCTCCTGATTGGCTGCTGCCTGTTCTGACCTCTGAATACTAGATCCACCAGGAAGATTGGGGACAGGCAGGCTAGTGGCACACTCTGCTGGCCTGATGTGAGGTGGAGGTGGCTGCCCGTGGAGCCCAGCTCGCCAGCATGTGACTGTGGCTCGTGTTGCAGTGCAGTCGAGAGTTTCCAGCGGCACACTGTGTTCAGTCGGAACGGGCAGAGCTGCAGCTGGCGGAACACCAAGCTCGTGGGTGGGAGTGTTAACAGAGCACGGACTGTCCAATGGGAGTGAGGCTCTCACAGGCGGAATGGCAAAGGCCACTCGTGGGGAAAGAAAAACCTCAGCATAAAACAGAGCTCCCGTGCCAAGCTGGTCATTAATCTGTACTTCTAGAACCCGACAAGCTTGCAAAGACAGCCGGCCAGAGTCTTGCATGTTTGTCTTGACTTTTGCAAAAGGAACTAACCCAGTTTCCACCAGTATGATGGTGGCTTTCTCTTCCTGCTGCATGTCCTTAGTTGCTACTCTTAGCTCTAAATGTGTGCTGCCTCCTTCCCTCGGCCATGCGAAGCTGAGCCAGGACTTTGCTCAGGGCACTGGGTATCTCTAACTTAGGCAATGGCAGGGCTGACTGTGTGTTTCTGTCTCACCGCTTACACAGCGTGGGTTGCTACCAGCCTGGGTGCTTTGGCTCCGGCCCCTTCTCTGTTAGTGTCTAAGGTCTTCCTTTTGACCACAGGATCAGACAGATGGTTATACTCCTCTGCTTCCCTTTCAGCCTGGGAAGCAGTGAAGGTGGCCTCAGGAGTGACCGAGAGCCACGTCACAGGACTGGGAATTCCGGCCTGCGTCTCCCGTTGTTAGATCTGTTTTCCATCAGGCTTTGTCAGAAAGCACATCTCCCATCTCTTTCTCTAAAAGTTGAACTCAGTGTTACACACCTGTCATCCGAGCACCCAGGAGAGTGAGGCAGGAGAATTAGGAGTTCAAGGCCAGCCTGGGCTGCATGTTGAGACCTTCTCTCCAAAACCAAACAAAAAAAGTTGTTCAGAAAACAAGGAGTCTCCCTCTGCCCTTGCTCCAGCTGTGGCTCCGGGGCTAGATACTTTCCAGATAGGTGCTCTGAGCTTAGACGGCTCTGTGCATGTCTCCCCTTCTCACAGAAGGAGTTGTGTGTGTCCCCCCTTCTCACAGAAGGAGTTGTGTGTGTCCCCCCTTCTCACAGAAGGAGTTGTGTGTGTCCCCCCTTCTCACAGAAGGAGTTGTGTGTGTGTCCCCTTCTCACAGAAGGAGTTGTGTGTCCCCCCTTCTCACAGAAGGAGTTGTGTGTGTCTCCCCTTCTCACAGGAGTTGTGTGTGTGTCCCCCCTTCTCACAGAAGGAGTTGTATCTAGCATGGATTCCTGCCTTTTCTGTTAAACAAGATATTAAAGATTCCCTCCCAGTTGGGAGGGCTATGTGTTTTTGCAGTGAGTCATTTAACATGTTTCCTGGGGGCTGGGGATTTAGCTCAGTGGTAGAGCGCTTGCCTAGCAAGCACAAGGCCCTGGGTTCGTCCTCAGCTCCGGAAAATTAAAAAACAAAACAAAACAAACAACCCAAACCTGTCTCCTGGAGCTCTCCATGCCAGGCACACTCGAACAGGGTTGGGGTACACAGTGCTTGACTGTGCCAAAGCCTCTCTCGGTGCCCCCAAGTAGTTATTGCTGTGGGGCTCTTGTTCCCCTTGGGTGCCCAGCTTCCTGAGAGCCAGAAGGGGAGACAGTGTGGATGGAGAGAGACTGGGATCTGAGGCTGCAGGCTGGAAAGGAGAAGTCATTTCCACAGGGCCTGGAGGAAGTTAGATCTGCCTCCCTCTTGAGCCTCGTGATGTGGCTGATCTGACTGCCCAGACTTGGCTCTGCTTGATGGCTTCTGCTGATAAGCCTTTGAGACACTGGGATGATACTTTCAGTTAACCTTTCTCAGTGTGACTTTATGTTGTGGGATGGGGCTCGTGCCATGGCAGGAATGTGGAGGTCACAGGACACCTGTGCGAGTCAGTCCTCTGCTTTGACATGGAGGTCCTTTGGATGGAGAACTCTCGTCAACAGGCTTGATGGTGGCTGCCCTTGCCTGCCAAGCCACCTCACTGGCCCAACTTGCTTTAGTCAATGCCATTTTAAAATCCTCGTTACATTGTGAAATTCTGGTGGTAGGACCACTGACCCATATCTACAGGCTCACTTCACCTTGCTGTCCCTCTTCTGTCCTTGTCACAGCCCCGACGCTGCTGACAGCACGTCTTTCGACGTCCAGTTAGGAGACATCATCCTCACAGCAACAGATGGGCTCTTTGACAACATGCCTGATTATATGATCCTTCAGGAGCTGAAGAAACTGAAGGTAAGGACATGGAGCCTGGGGGCCTGGGGACCCTGGGGACCCTGGGGGCCTGGGGGCCTGGGGAGCCTGGGGACCCTGGGGGCCTGGGGAGCCTGGGGGCCTGGGGACCTGGGGGCCTGGGGACCCTGGGGGTCTGGGGACCTGGGGGCCTAGGAGCTGTGCTCTCTCACTGCCGGGTTGTAGTGAGTTCCTTGCGTTGTTCCTTGGTTTGAAAAGTCCTTCAGGAAAACAGTGGCTGTAATATTCCAGGCGATTTCAGATGGGAACATTCCGAAGAGGACTGGGAGGAAGCCCTTGCCTGAGCCCCTCCCTCCCTCCTGGGGCTCAGGGTGGGAGGGCGATCTCACTAGTGCTCCTCTTGGTGTTCCCACACTCACACCAGCAGCTGCTGAGGCTGGAAGATTGGGAAGCAGTTAGACCAGAAGTCGGTCCAGGCGGCAGGGGTCTGGTAGGGGTCTGGCTGTGACCCGAGCTGCAGCTGAGGGAAGTTTGGTGTCTCCCACAGAAGGGGGAGGTGCCCGAGGCTAGGCTCCCAGAGTCTCTTAGGCCAGTGCAAGTACTGGCTGGCAGAACCTAGCCCTTCTAATGCAGCCCTCACCATTCTTGCTTGGGGTGTTTCTTCTGTGGTCCAGGCAGTAGTGCCCTTGTCTGTAAAATGGGAAGTAGGAAAGGTTTTGTCCTTCACCGTGGCAGGGAAGACTAACCAAAACCACAGAAGAGAGTCCTAATGCCAGGCCTGGCCTGTGGTGCTCGGTGCCTGCTCCGTGCTCCCATGTAGTGCCTGCACCCTGTACTACAGTGCTGAGCAGAAGTCTGAAGACTCCCCTCCCTCCTTCCCTCCCTCCCTCCCTCCCTCCCCTGGGCTTACAGTCTAGAGGTGAGCTGCTGGGAAAGAGAGGAAGACAGGATCTGGGCTGCTGGGACAGAAAAGAAAAGTAAAGGGATTGCTGCTTTAGGCTGGCAGGGGAGCCTCTGTAAGGAGATGGTAGGCAGCACAGACCTGTTGGGTTTCCGTGAATTCCTTTATACAGTCATTGTTTTTATCTTAAGTGTAGGAATGTTTGTGTGGTGCCTGGGGAGGCAAGGAGATGGTGCTGGATCCCCTAGAGCTGATGTGAGTGGTCACGTGGGTGCCAGGGACTAAACCTGGGTCCTCTGCAAGAGTAGCCAGTGCTGTCGACCTCTGGAACCTCGTCTCCAGCAGCCCTGGCCCCTGGTGGTTTATGTTGGGACTGAAGGACTTAGAGCCTTTGAAGGCAGGTCTGAGGGGGTCCGGGCCCTCCCATGTCCATTTTGTAGATGAGGAATGGAAGCAGCTAGGACAGCGTGGCCAAGGAACACACAGCAGAGCAAGACTTCTGTGGCCATAGGAAGCCTGAAAGGCATCCTCAGCAGAGCCAGCACCCAGGTGCCTCTTACTTGAGGCAAATATGGCTGTTTCGGTGTATTCCTGAGCATGGGGACTTCTGAGGCATCATGAAAATGTGGCCAGAACCCACCTTTTTAGACCACCCTACTTTAGCAAGAATACCTTAAAATTTTCAAGTGGAAAACCAAAAGTGAAACTCTAAATTGAAGATCTGGAACCAGTCAACAAAAGGCATTCTCGTGGAGCAGGGCCATGGTTTGTCCCTGGCTGTCTCCATGTCTTCTCTAACTAGAGGAAAACCCAAGCATCAGGGGAAGTGTTCTGCCTCACCGTGCTGTCTGCACCAAGTGTTCTCATGTGCAGAACTCACGGGAGGCTTGGTGGTAAAAATAACTCCGTCCTTCATTTTAGAATTCAAATTACGAGAGTATACAACGGACCGCAAGGAGCATTGCTGAGCAAGCGCACGAGCTGGCCTATGACCCAAATTATATGTCACCTTTTGCACAGTTTGCGTGTGACAACGGGTTGAATGTGAGAGGTAAGCATTCTCTGGAAGGTTCTAAGCTCTGGGTGAGAATGTGTAAGTGACCTTCCTCTCCCGGCAAGGTCAGGGGGGTGGCAGCCAGTGTGTTGCTAGCTTCTCTTTGGAAGTGCCCTTCAGAACTGCCCTTGACTAGACGAGAGACAGGTGGAACCTGAAGCCCTTTATTCCACCGCTGCCCCTCGAGTGGCTGATCCAAAGTGCCATGGCAACCTGCAAAGGGAGCTGTGTGCCATTGCCCTCGATTGTGATGTCTTTCTATCCTCTTCATGGTGTACCCGGGAATTAGGCCAGCCCCCACTGGTTGACGGTGGCGTCGGAACTGTGGGGCTGCCCAGCCTTTGCTCCTGTGATACTATGATATGCAGAGCACATCTGCGCTCAGGAGACGTTCAAATAGAGAAGAGCACATGCCACAGCTGCTTGGCACATTAGAATACAGGCAACTCCTAGTTTCCAGACACTGGACATGTCTGTCCAGATTCGGGCCGTGCTCATGTGAGTGCTGGCTGGAGCTGTCCTGCAGACTGTCTCCCTGCGGCTGATGCGATGCTGTGAGCCCACTGCACAGCCATCACGTGGGAAAGCAGCAGGTGGGTTTGGGGCAGTGGTTTTAAGCTTCAGTTAAATCACTTCTTTGTTTTAGTTTCTTGAAGCAAGGTCTTAGCTCAAGCTGGCCTCAAATAAGTGGTGATCCTCCTGCCTCAGTCTACCAAGTACTGAGGTTATAGGTATGCAGCACCATGCCCTGGCTTCTTGGTGGTGTTTAACCGTACCTTATTTATTTTTATTTTAGCTTTGGGGGATGGTATCACATAGTATAGGCTGGGTTTGAACTCCCAATCTTCCCAAACTTGGAGCTTGCCGCTTTAACTGTCCTTCACTCTGGTGCACAGGCAAACCGGATCCACAGGAACATGAGCACTTGTCTCTTCAGTACTTACCTGGCCACATCTTGGACAGACTCTCCTTCACGCACGCTCATGTGTTCCCTCTGTGTTGTAGGTGGCAAGCCAGATGACATCACTGTCCTCCTCTCCATCGTGGCTGAGTACACGGACTGATTGGCCACGCTGGCGACTCCTGCCTTTCCCTTGTTGCCCACTTTCCCTGCCATGTGTGCTGATCCTGCTGGCAGGACCACGTTTCTTTGCCACTGATCTCAGTGGCCAATGATGGACGCCTGGCCCATGTTTGAGACCCATTGCGATCCTTGTTGAGAACCACTACTGTCATCCACTAGCCCGGACCTGCTGGTGACCGCCAAGAGAATCGAGGTGACTGCTTCCTTCTCCTGGAGGTTTTCAAAGCCTTTTACTTTTCAAAAGCAGTTGAAGTTTTGAGACTAAGTAATGTTGGTAAAGTGAATTTAAAATTTCAGTGTGTTAAAGGGATGTTAACATTCAACAAATAGTAAATAGTGACACATTTACCAGAAAACACACGGACCCTCCCAGGAGAAGCCCCGTGTCCCACAGGCACAGTCTCTGCTAGGCCTGGTGTGGCTTCGTGTTTCTGTATAAACTCCTGTTTTCCAGGAGCCCACAGTCCTGCTCCAAAACTGTGTGCTGGGTTATGACATCCCAACCCTAGCAACTTAACGGTTTTAGTTACAAATTGGAAGAAAATTTTCGTTCTCTGGATGCAGATATTTTGTGCTTTTTAAAAAGATGCTTACTGTGCTCCTGTGATTGAAGCTGTGGCAGTTTATGATTTGTCCAGGTCACAGGCTGGAGGCCCAGCCCACAGGAGGGATAGAGGAAGGAGACTCCTTACCAAAATCTACTAACAGAAATGCAACACAAAATTGCAAAACTCCTTAAAGCCTGAGAATCAAATGCTGCAGCTGAAGTCGTCGGCTCTGCCTGTGAGGATGCTACCGGCCTTCCCGGGCAAGAGTGTGCAGCTGCAGCTTGGAATGGGATTGGCTGTGGACAGCCTTGCTCCTTCCCTCAGGAGCCTCACACCCTTAGAGCATGCCCCAACTGTGCTGTGTCCTCAAGGTGACAGCGTGGTGGCTGCAGCACACAGAGTCCACAGGAAAGCTAGTGATGACCTGACATTCGCGGTGACCCCAGCTGAGTGTGGGGTTCTGAGTCCAGCTTAATGTTTACAGTTCCAATAGCCATTTGCAGTAGGTAACGTTCCTTCTCAGATTTCCCCATTACTTGTGAGTGCAAACTTACTTTGAAGGTTTGTGTACAATTGACTGCTGTAAAGATACATATTTTTGGGTCCGTTCTTTCCCTTCTTTACCTTGGTGGTAGAAAACCATATATACTGAGAAGCCCCTAAGTTAAAGCCGTGTTTTCTGTGCAAGTCAGGTGACGTTGGTGTGAAGATCACGTGAGCAGCCACACAGCCCTTCCTCTGCAGGAGACACTGGCTCCCTGGTTACTGCATTGAACTTGTGTTTGAGGTGACCTCAACTTGTTTTTAAAAGATTTTGTCTGTGAGTTTGTATATTTGAGTAGCTGTCTCTTGTTTTATTTAAATTGTTTACCATGTACCATGTACATGTCATTGCTGTATCTCAGTGCATCAATGCTTGTAACAGGCATTTCGTTGATAAGAATGAGTTACTCATTTGTAAGCTGTTCAGTAATTTATCTACTATTCCTAAATTGGCATAATGTTAGATTCCTATTTTGAATCACCTTTAATTACATGTCAGAATGCCTTAACTACCCTAACCTGACAACACTGAGTTCTTTGGTGAGGAGATACAGGGGCCGGGTATGGAAGGAGACTGGGATAAGGAGATGTCATGCTCTGTTGACAACGGAGCATGAGGGGCACGTGGTGGGTATTTATTTTGCACAAACTTTTTGCAGTGTCCGTGTTTGAAACAGTAAGGTTGCATCCAGATGGGGTGTGTGTGTGACCCTAGGACCGACTACTTCAACTCTCCTGTGTGGTCTGTAATTAGTTTCTGGTCAGAAGTATTGTAGCCTTACAATCTGGATATATTTTGCATTAATTTTCCAATGCCAACATTTAATTCCTGCTAAGAGCAGAGCTGGTCAAGTCACTGGCTTTTTTTCTGCTCTTATTTAGCCCATCAAGCAATCTTTATAAAGGTAGATTGGTGTATTTTATACAACTTAGTCAGAAAACTCACTTTTCTGAGCAGTGATTGTTAGAATTGGACAGTGGACTGTTCTAGTACACTGAAACCCATGGGACAGGCATTGAGATTCAGAGTGAAGATTACTTTGGGCCTGGCGCGTGGACTAGTGACATTACATATTCCATTTGCTTCTCCCCTGTCCTTTTTGTTATACACTTAATCTTATGATTGTCGGAGGTCAGGTGGAGTGTGCCGCCTCACACTCGCCATGGCCAGGGGCTGTCACACACCCCTTGCTAGGTCCGATTTGGAACCTGGTGTGTGCGTGCATTGTATTTTAAATCAAGCAACGTAAGCACTCATATTTGTCTCACGGAGTGAACTTTTATAACAAAAGAGAAATTTGGATTTTAATTTACAAATGGCAAATTATTTATCCCTCTCTGGATGCACCAAAGACCAGTAAAGTTTATAGCTTTTCCATCTATATTTATAAAGCAATACTGTATTATAAAAAAAAAATCACTATTTTTATCACATGCTTGAAATTTTTATTTTGTTCTGTTTTAAAAATGTGCACTCTAAACATATCAGAACCTTATTTCTTCCTATGAACTGAAGCTGCCTGCGCACAAAAAAATAAGTAAGATTACCAAATGGAGATGAAGTAGCTAGAGTCCCTAGGCTCTTAGAAATGGAAAGCAGCGAGGGTAAAAACAAGGTCTGTCCCGAGGCACTGTGCATGCTTGACTTGGTTGATAGGTTCCTAACTCGAAGAATCCATTCCAGGTGTGCGTGTCTGGAGTAGAGACTGAGTATGAGCTTTCTGAGGCAGGAGAGTGCCCTTTTCTGCTGCTGCCCTCGTTCTGGGTAGAGTAAGTAGGCAGTGAGAGCTCACAGGGCTGCCATCCCGGCGAGTGTTGAGGTGGCCGGCAGGATTGGATAGGGCTGTAGGTGTTTGTACTTTTGGGTAGGTTCATGGCTCCTTGTCACTGTACGCCAGCTATCTTTGGCAAAGTTAGAACACTCAGTTTCTCTGGAGACTGTCACAGTTTTGCATTTAAGAAAAATTTTGCAATACCAAGAAAAAAAACTGCATAAAAAGCAAAATATGAACCAGAAGACATTTGGATTCTGTTTCTTTCCAAAAAGTCAATTTATCACAAAATTGAACTTCTCAACTAAAGCAGTGTCCATGTCAAGATGTCACTGTTAGCAGGTAGTTTGTGGTAAAGGCAACTAAGTGACGAAGCGAATCTGAATGTGTGTATGCTGATGAGCTGTGTTTTCTGTTGAGACTATCATCGTTTGTCCTACCTACCAGAGGCAATGACCTGAGTCGATGTTTGAATTATAACTTATGCAGGAATAGTTCTGTAAATACATTTCAATAAACTGTAAAGATATTTAATAAATATAGTATTTATACTAATGGCCACTCCTTTGGTTTGAATGGTCAGGAGCTAAGACACCAGCTCTCGGCATTGTGGTCCTCCCTGTCACATCCTCAACCCCAAGCCTCTTGGTCCACCCAACAGGGAGCCAGCACTTCAGAGCTGTGTCTTCTGTGCTTTGCCATTTGAACCGGTGTGGCTGTTAATCAGCAGCTGTTTATCTTCCTCAGAAATTCACCAAAATGGACTGGCAATTGAGTGTAAAATAGAGGGTTTTGTTTTTGTTTTTGTTTTGCTTTTTTCCAGCTGGGGCATTGTGCCTTCCAAACAGTACTGAGTGAAGCTACCAACCACTGCTGCTGTGAGGGCCAGGGCTTGGCGGCAGAGCACTGACCTAGTGTGTGCAAGGCCCTGGATTCCACCCCAGAACCACACACACACACACACACACACACACACACACACACACACACACACACACACACACGCCTTGCTTGTGCTCTGCTGTAATTTCAAAACCCTACGTACTTGTAACAGTGTCACTGTTATAGAATAGTGCTGGACTCAGGCTACTGCTGACCAAGGTGCTTTGGAGTGAGCCCAGGCCTTGTCCTCAGCAGGGAAACCTACAGAGTTGCTCTGCAGCCACCTGCATCAGTTAGGAATGTCAGAGATCCAGTTAGTCATCATTGTAAACATGAGATTCGTTAAGTCCGCAGTCTACAACAGAGAGGACAGCCTTGAGATAGGTGGGATTGCCAGCTTCCACAAAAAGCTCAGTGAAAGCCCATTTTCATTCACAGAGGAACATCTTGGGATAAAGTTGGGTTTTTATTAGGTTACTGTGGGCAGCAGTGACTCATTGCTAAGCTTCAAGATCACTCTGGTTTCAGCTAGAATCTGCTCACACTTCTGAAGCACGCTAATCCACTTAGGCAGCACTTCCAATTTCTCAGAGTCTGAAGTACAGTGGCCTGCTGGTCGACATTTCCTATGGTTTGATGGTTTTCCGAAAACTTAGCAATGTTACCAAAGGCTCCTTTGTCGGCTTGTAATTGACTGTAAACAGGTTTGGGGGAGAGAGTCACACAGTGTGAGGTGTTACATAACATTGTGTTTGTGCAGGTAAACAGCTCGATCTGAGAGGGGCAATGGACAGGCATTTGTCTCCCCCCTCCCTCATTCCACTGCAGTCTGAGCTTGGGCTGCTGCGTCTGGGGATGACTCAGACATACTTGGCTCCACTACATGCTTTCTACATCCCACTGCGTATCGTGCAGGAACCAGAGCAAATGAAGCCTGGGATATGAAACTGTATAATATATAAAATGACCACAGAGTGAAAGATTAACTGTAGATTTCTTTATTCATAACCTACAGTGAACAGAAACTGCCAGGTCATTGCCTAAGAAGGGACTGTATGTCTGTTGTCCTCAGTCACGAACAGAAGAGTCCTAGAGGCTCCTGAGAAATGCCCCCTGCCACCGAGGTGCTGAGGAAAGTCTGCCTTTAGGGACAGGCAGAGGACGTGGCAAGACTGCAGGGTAAACGGTGTCTAGGAACCTTGATATGGCCAGGTGACGGTGGCGCACGCCTTTAATCCCAGCACTCAGGAGACAGAGCCAGGCAGATCTGTGAGTTCGAGGCCAGCCTGGTCTACAGAGCAAGATCCAGGACAGGCACCAAAACTACACAGAGAAACCCTGTCTCAAAAAAGCAAAACAAAGAACCTTGATATGTTCATTCCTGTGCCCAGCTCTGTCCCCAAGTGGCACAATGGATTTGTAGTGCATAGTGATATTAGGAAAGCCCGGGAACAGTGTCTGCTCCATTCTCCCTTGGCCTTCAAGGAGCCAGGGCTCAGCACCCGGTGCAGCTGTCTCTGAGCGTCAGGCTGTGGACACTCATCCCCTCATGTCCTCTTCACTGTCACTTGCTATTGCCAGGCTGTCCAAAGGGTGGCTGGCGTGTTCTTGCTGCTCAGAAGAAACTGCTCCAAAGAACATGCAGGAAAACTGGAAGGGAAAACAAAAGCTTGCAGTTGATTCTGAAGACAAAGCCTGCTCACTAAAGGCTCCCCTGAAGCTTTGGGAATGGGGTCAGGTGCTGCCGCTGTCTTTGATGGTGATGACTCATGGACACCATTATCAACTGAACTCTCTAGAGCAAGAGCCTCTTCTGACGTCAGCAGCCCAAGCCAGGACCTTTGTGAATGGTGGTCCACTGTGACCTTTCCTGGAGCTACAGAAATGTCCCCCAGGGCTGGGAAAGGCAAGGAGTCTCTGCAGGCAAAGGGGGTGACTAGCTGTCTCCCTCCACTCCTGACCCCGCATCTGCCCTGCCTTACAGGCTGAAGCCGACCTCCCACCCCCACCCAGGCCCTGCTGCTCTGTTGAAGGGGAGCTTCTCTGTCACAGACCTGCCTGTACTCAGGAAGTCTCCTCATGCTCCTCCCCACCCTGTCTTAAGCTTCCGACCTCGGCACCTCCCAGAAATGAGCCCCATGCCTGAAGCAGCCACCATAGCAGAAGACATGAGACAGGCTGGAGAGAAGGTGCCTTCTGCAAGTGTGACAGCAGCAGCTTCTGACCTCTCATGCTAGTGAGCCCCAGCTTAGCTGTGGTGAGCAGGACAATAGCCCCACCGTGGGCTAACGCTGAGCCCCCACCACACAGGTAGGCAGTGATGAAATCAGGTTGCTCAGCTGATGTTACCAGCCAGATGGGTAAACACTTGACTGCCTGGCTGGGGAGATGGATCGGGACTACGGGCCTAAGAGTGGAGGAAGGTGCCAGACTCTGGCCATGGCAGAAGCTCCTGAAGGGGCAGGCTAAGTGACACCCTGATGCTTGGCCCTGTGAGAATATTTCACGCTGTGACCTTTGGAACTAGAGAGGACCGTTGTCCTGTTCCTGCAGTGAAGTCTGGTCACCTGCTAAAGAGTAGCAGCTGCCTTGAGCTCAGCTGGAGGCAGTCTCTATTGCTCGGCTAAGGTCAAGGTCCTGAGGCTACAGATGACCCAAGCAGCCTTCTGTCGGGTGTTTGGCCCTGTGCAGGAGCTCTCAGTAATGTCGTGGCAGTCTCTGCGGCCCGCCACAAAGTGCAGGCTTATCGTGGTGTTTGAGCATTGCCTGATTTGCCTCAGGCTTGGGCTGAGTGCTGTTTGCCCCCTGCCCTTGTTCTTGATGTCTACCTGGTCTTAAAATCTGTGGCTGGTTGCCAGGCATGGTGGCACACACCTCTAATCCTAGCACTCAGGAGGCAGAGGCAGGTGGATCTCTGAGTTCAAGGCCAGCCTGGTCTACAGAGCAAGTTCCAGGACAGAGCTACAAAGAGAGACCATGTCTCGAAAAACCACAAAAAAACCAAAACCAAAAACAAAACAAACAAAAAAAAGCCAAAAACCTCTGGCTGGCTAACCCCCCTTCCTCCGTCAAGGAGGAACCACGCACACACACAGGGAAGAAGGCTGGGCTCAGTGATAGAGCACTCTGCTAACGTGCCAGCGACCTGGGTTCCAGCTTCGGCACCACAAAGCAAAGGTGAGAGACGCCTGGCCCTAGGTCACAGTGTGAGCTTGAGGCACAGAGGCATGAACAAAAACAGTAAGAAGAGCTGAAGAGATGGCTCAGCAGTTAAGTGTTTGCTTCTCTTTCATAGGACCTGAGTTCAGTTCCCAGGACCTGTGTTGGACAGGCTCACAACTGCCTGTAACCCCAACACCTTCAGTCCTCCATGGACACACTACACACACATTAAGAAAGCACTCGGGAGGCAGAGCCAGGCCGATCTCTGTGAGTTCGAGGGCAGCCTGGTCTACAGAGCGAGATCCAGGACAGGCTCCAAAACTACACAGAGAAACCCTGTCTCAAAACCAAACAAAAGACAGTACTTGCACCACACCTTCTCCGGGATAGGGAGGAAGCAGGATGCCTGCCTCTGGCTGCAACTCAGGAGGGTCGGTGCACAGGAGAATGAATCAACGACTGGCCCTAAGGAGGAAATCAGGCCGTTTCTGTCTGTCGTGACTACGCTGGGGGGACCCAACAAGAGCCAGAAGAGGAGAGAGAGTCAACACACAGAATAGCTGTGCACACAAATGTTTGCAGTCAGTGCACACCAGTAGAGAAAACATCTACTGTCACTTGCTATTGTCATGCAATAGTCATGTAGCCCAAGCTGGCCTCAGACTGTGTGCACCACCACACTAGGCTCATACAATGCTGACAATCAAACCCAGAACCCTGGGCATCCTAAGCAAGCACTCTATTGCCCCATCCCCCACCCCTTTCACCATTTATTTAGAGACAGAATCTCTAAAGTTGGCTGGTTGGCCTGGAACTCACAATCTTCCTGCCTCACCCTCGCAAGTGCTGGAATTCCTAGCACGGGCTCCGTCCCCAGCCAGGAATACCTTCACAGTAGATACGCAAACCCCTATGAAGAAGCTAGATGTGCTGCTGCCCACTTAACTCCTAGCACTCAGAAGGCTGAGGCATGAGGACTGGGAGTTTTCATCTGGGCTACATAGTGAGACCTTGTCTTCACTATACTACCTCCCTCAGGAACAAGCTGGGTGTGGTAGTGCATCCTAGCCCTTGGGAGATATAGACAAGGGGTCTATCCTCAGCTGCGAGGGAAATTTGAGGCAAATCTGGGCAACATGAGACACTGTCTCAAGAAAAACAAATGAAAAACAAATCACTTTTTAAAGTCTGAATTCTAAAAGAGCCCTCAAAGACACAAGTGGGCTTAAAGAGAAAACCATTGCTTGGTTACGGGTGGATAAGTGAACAGCATAACGGTGCTTTGCCTAAGGTAATAGAAGTGTGAAGTAGTTCAGATACCAACAGGCATTTTGTTTGGAGATGGGTGAGCTGTTACTGAAGTTTAAATCACAAGTAAATGTTCAAGAGTAGAAAAGGATAAGTCTGCAAAAAGCCACCAGGCCACCACCCTAGAGGCCACTGATGGAGGCAGTGAAGGCAGAGGGGACTTTCGGGTGGGCCACAGCAAGTCCAGACACTGGCACAAGTGTACCAGGTTTCTGACACGGCAAGGGAGGCCCTGGAGCCCAGGCAAGAGCAGGCTGTAATTTTAAAGGTTTAAAGGGTAGCTGCATAGCCATTCTGGAAAGACAAAGTTAGACACATAATTTACAGCATGCACGAAGACAGACTCCAGATGGCTCAGTGAGTAAACAAAGAGGAAAGGGGTGGATTTCTTAACCCGTGTAGGAAAGCTTTCTAATTGACTCAAAATCATTTGAAATTAAAAAAAAAAAAAAATTTACTATGTAAAGGAAAAAATGCTTTGCATGGCAAAAAAAAAAAAAAACCTAACAACAACAAAAACCAATATAAGATGTGTAGGTGGGCGCACCGAACATCACGGATAGTGGCTTAATGAGCCTGTGTGTCCAGTGAGCACACAGAGGGAACAGGGCTGTAGATTGTGCAGCTAGTAAGAGCGTTTCTGTTCTTCTCAAGACCCAAGTTCAGTTCCCAGAAGCTATTTGACTTCACTCACAATCAGAGAAATGCAAACTGAAACCATGTGGAGAGAGAGTGGAGACTTGCAACCTACGTTCTGTTCCCGTCTTCACACAAGCTGGGTGGCTCACAACTGCCTGTAACTCCAGTTCCACAGGATCTGACAACTCTTCTGATTTCTGGGTACTGCATACATGTGGCAGACACACATACACATAAAAACAAACGGTCTTTAGTCCCAGAACTAAGGAGCAGGTGGGTTTGTGGGTCTGAGGCCAGTCTGGTCTATATAGCGAGTTCCAGGACAGCAAGGGATATGTAGAGAGACCCTAACTCAAAAATAAATAAAAAACTGAGCTAGAGAGCTGACTGTAGTTAAGAGCACCAGCTACTCTTGCAGAGAATGCAGATTTGGTTCCCAGCACTTACATAGGGGCTTACAACCATCAGTAACTCCAGTTCCAAGAGATCCACCTCGACCTCTGTGAGCACCAGGTATACATGTGGCACACACACTTAAACAGGCTAACACATATATAAAACCTTTTAAAAGCAAACAAAAAAGTTTGAACTATAAATTTGGCAATGATTTCTTTTCCAAGTTTGGCATCACATGCTGTCTGTAGACTTGGAGAAACCTGTCACTCCCTTGACTGCTACAGTAAGCAGACAGGACCTCAAAGAAAACCTCTACACACTTGGGTCAGTTATCACACTTAGGAAGAATTTACCCTAATGTCACACTTTTTGTGTGTGGTGGTGGGGAGGGGAGGGGGCAGATTTCAAGACAAGGTTTCTCTGTGTAGCCCTGGCTGTCCTAGAACTCTGCCTCCCAAGTGCTGGGATTAAAGGTATGTGCCACCACTACCCGGCAAGGCCGAACTTCTAACAAGAGATGCATGTGTGACCCAATTTGTTCTTAAAGCTTTTTATTTTATTTACTTGTTTATTTATTTGGGGTTTTTTGTTTTGTTTTGTTTTTTTGATACAGGGTTTCTCTGTGTAACAAACAGCCCTGGATGTTCTGGAACTCACTCTGTAGACCAGGGTGGCCTCAAACTCATGGAGATCCACCTGCTTCTGCCTCCTGATTGCTGGGATTAAAGGCTTGTGCCACCACTGACTGGTTTATTATTTTAAGACAAGGTCTCAAAAAATACCCTTGGGGCTGGAGAGATGGCTCAGTGGTTAAGAGCACTGACTGCTCTTCCAGAGGACCCAGGTCCAATTCCCAGCACCGACATGACAGCTCATAACTCTAACTCCAGTTCCAGGGGACCTGACACCCTCACACAGACATACATGCAGGCAAAACACCAATGCACATAAAAACAAAAATAAATTATTTAAAAAAACCAAACAAACAAACACCCTTGTTGGCCTGGAACTCACTATGTGTAGACCAGACTGGCCTTGAACTCAAAGAGATCCTCCTGCCTCTGCCTCCCAAATGCTTGTAACAGCTTTTGTAATTACAGAATACTGGGGGACTATAAATGGCCCCGTAGAGCGGTTGAGTTAACACACAGGGCAGACGTCACAGCGGCTGTGCAGAAAGCGGTGTTCCCAGGACGTGTTAAGTGCAGAGAGCAGCTGGGAACAGTATTTGTGTAGGAGATGTGTGCAGCTGCTCGCTTGTTAGAAAACAAAGTGCATGTTTGGTGCACACGCCTGAGAACCTGAGTTTGGACCCCAGCACCAGTGTAAGAATCTGTCACTGTCACCTGTCTTACCCAAGGGCTGGGGTGGTGACAGGCCAATCCCTGGACCTCACTGCTCAGTCAGCCTAGCTGAAGGAATGAACTACAGATTCACTGAGAGACCGTGTCTCAAAGAATAAAGAAGGATGGCCAGTGAAATGGTGCTGGGCAAAGCTGGATCCCAGCCCCCATATAGATAGTGAAGGATGCAGTGTGGGCATGTGCGCACACACATGTAACTTTAAAGTTGCTGATTCTTTTTTTTTTTAACCTTTTTAGAGCTTTATTAGGGGAGAGAGAGAGAGAGAGAGAGAGAGAGAGCGAACCAAAGAGATGCAGAGACAGACCGCGCGGAGGAAAAGTACAGAGAGAACACACAGCAATTCTTTTTTCAAAAGGTGTGTGTATGCTCACACATGCAAGTTACTGTGGAGGCTAGAAGAGGGTGTAGGAGCCCCTGGTGCTGGAGTTACAGGCAGTTGTGAGCTACGCAACTTGGGTGCCTGGAACCAAACTCTTTACAAGAGCATCAGGCATATTTAATCACTTAGCCATCTCCCCAGCCCCCACTAATATGTTTTTAATTAAAAAAGTCACCCAGAATCGATTTTGAGCTTCCATGTGTCCACATGTGTAGTTACATGCACAGGCATGCACACCACACAACAGATACAATACCACACATACACAATACTGTTTGAAATTGGTAAGTCCACCAATGTGCAGTGGGTACATTCACTTGCTGCCGAGCTAATGACTCTGATTCAGTCCCAGGGACCCACAGAGTAGAAGGAGAGAATCGACCAGCAAGTTGTTCTCAGACCACTCACGTGCTGTGTGTGTGTGCGCACACATTACAAACTTCAGTTGAAAATACGATGATCAAAGGCCTTAATGTAAATGGAAACTGAAATTAGAAGAGAACACAGATGAAGCAGTTCCAGGAACAGCCAAGGACTTTGTGAAAGGGACTGCAGTAGTTGGGGTAAGAGTACTAAGAACTGACTGCTGGTACTGCATGAAGTTAAGAAGCCCTGCACAGCAGCAGGAACAGTGAGGGAACAGCCTGCAGACTGGGATAAAATCTCTGCTAACTATGCCTCTGTCAGGGTCAGGATCTACAATGTATAAAGAATTAATATATATGTATGTATCTCCAAACCAAACAAGAGGGCTGGCAAGCTGGCTCAGCAGGTAAAGGCAGTTGACTGCCAGGCCTGATGAACCAGTGCGACGCCCAGAACCCACATGGTAGAAGGAGAGAACTGACTCCTGCAAGCTGTCCTCTGACATGTCCTCTACATGTACATGCATACATGTGTGCACAACACACATACACGTGAAAACAAAACAGAAACCTCGGGGGCTGGAGGGGGTGCTCAGTGGTTAAGAGTACTTGTTGCTCTTACAGAGAGAACACAGATTCAGTTTTCAGAACCTGTTACTCCTGCTGCAGGGGAGCTGATATCATCTTCTCACCTCCATGGACACTGAACACATTGGTGCACATACATACACTCAGGCACACACATCCACATAAATCTAAAACCAAAAGAAAACTCACAAATAAACGTCAGCAGGAATGTTAGGAAATAGGAACTCTTATACATTGCTGGTAGAAATGTAAATTAATCCATGCCTTAAGGAAATCAGTACATTCCTCAGAAATGTGAACATTTTATGCTTTAAGCATGGTGGCACACTTGTGATTAGTACTTGGGAGGCAAGTCAGGAGGATCAGGACTTCAAGGCTGTCCTTGAGTACACAGTTCAAGGCCAGTGTGGACTACAAGAGACTGAACACCAAAAAGAGCCAGGTATGGTGGCATATGCCTGTAATCCTAGCACTTGGGAGGGAGAGACACAAGTATCACAAGTTTAAGGCCATCCTTGGCTATGTAAGGAGCTCAAAGCTAGCCTGGGCTACATTAGACTCTCTCCAAAACAACATAAGCCCTAGAAATTTCTGTCACCATATGACACCCCAGCCATATCACTCCGAGGTACTTGTGAGTGTATAACCATAGGACCTTTAACAAGCCCCAGGAGACACCTGCACATCCATTTTATTGCGCTGTTCTCCGACAGCCATCTTCTATAGTCAGCCTGGCTGTCCATCATCAGATAGTGGATAAAGGAAGCGTGGTATATCTATGCAATGGAATTTTATTCAGCCATAGAGAAGAATGAAATGATGTAATCTGCTAGACAGTGGGTGCAAATGGAGGTCATCATCATCAGGGAAGTAAGGACTGCATGTTTTCCCTGTGGGTCACATATATGCAGATACATTACACCACATATATGATCCTATCTGACACACACAGGTGTGAAAGCAGAGGAGAAACTAGAGGAAAGGAGACTAGCAGGAAGGAGGGGAGGGTGGAGGGAGAGGAGGGTAGAGGGGTGAATTTCCTCAAAGTATATACTATACTTGAAAGAGCATCTTCACGAAACAGGTGGCCTGACTGGGTCTGTCCAGATGGATGCTGAGAAGCGGGCTGACCTGACCGCTCAGCACCACTCTCCTACCTTCCTGAGGTGTGAAGGGCTTGGTCCTTCCTCCATGTCACTGACAACACTTTCAGGCACTTCAGAGATGTCGTCCTGACTGGCGCTCGCTCTCTTGGTCTCTGTGGCAGAGCTGCTGTCCGGAGGCTCCTTGGGAAACAGCCTTTTGGGTGCTGCTCGGGAGATGCTCTCTGGGGCCTGGCTGGCTTGGCTTTTACACCCCTGGGCACTTGACTGTGTGGCGTCTGGCCTGGGGTATTAAGACGGATTAGATGGAGCTGTTTAGTGGGAAATACATTTTTTTTTTTGGTTTTTCGAGACAGGGTTTCTCTGTGTAGCTTTGCGCCTTTCCTGGATCTCGCTGTGTAGACCAGGCTGGCCTTGAACTCACAAAGATCCGCCTGCCTCTACCTCCCGAGTGCTGGGATTAAAGGCATGGAAATACATTTTTATGTAACTAAGAGAGCACGGGAGATGATGATGAGAGCTGTGGATTAAGCAGTCTGGTAACAGAAGTACTTGTTGAAAGGTAAGGTTAATGTGTACAGTCATTGAGAAATGCCTGGATTGTGCTGACCTGTCTGTGGTGGTTTGAATGACAACAGCCCCCATTGGCTCATCTGTTCAAGTGCTTGCTCCTCAGTTGGTAGAACTGTTTGGGAAGGATTAGGAGGTGGTGCCCTGTTGGGGTTGGTGTGTCACAGGGGTGGGCTTGAGGCTTTAAAAGACTCTCACCGTCCCCAGTGTACTCTCTGCTTCCTGCTTGTGGATCAAGATGTGAGCTCTCAGCTGTTCCTGCTGCCAACCGTCATGGACTCTAACTCTTGGAAACTATAAGCCCAATTAAACACTCTTTTAGAAGTTGCTGTGGTCATGGGTTTTTTTGTTGTTTTGTTTTGTTTGTTTTTAAGATTTATTTATTATGTATACAGTGTTCTGCCTTCATGCCAGAAGAGGACACCATATCTCATTTCAGATGGTTGTGAGCCACCATGTGGGTGCCAGGAATTGAACTCAGGACCTCTGGAAGAACACCCAGTGCTCTTAACCTCTGAGCCATCTCTCCAGCCCCTGAATCAAGTTTTATAAAGTCATGAAAATGCGTGTTTTCGAATCATAAATCATGACACTAGAACACGTCTGTAATATGTATGTCATGGAGAGAATAGGATTTAAAATGACATATGGCCTATGTATGACTTCAATCTTTTTGTTTTTTTTTTTTTTGGTTTTTCGAGACAGGGTTTCTCTGTGCAGCTTTGCGCCTGTCCTGGATCTCGCTCTGTAGCCCAGGCTGGCCTCGAACTCACAGAGATCCGCCTGCCTCTGCCTCCTGAGTGCTGGGATTAATGGCGTGCGCCACCACCGCCCGGCAACTTCAGTCTTTAAAAAGCTAACTATGAGCCAGTTGTGGTAACATACACCTTTAATCCTAGCACTGGGGAGGCACAGGCAGGTGGATCTCTGAGAGTTCAAGGCCAACTAGTCTACATATTGAGTTCTAGGACAGCAGGGCTATGTAGAGACCCTGTCTCAAAAGAAAACTCTGATCCAATGGTTCGTTCACTTATTTCAACATGAAGGGTAAAGCCCTTACTACAGAAGTGGGAGGCCCTGAGCTTGGCCCCTGAGAACCTGTTTAAAGCTGGACTCAGTAGTGTGCATCTGCAACCCCAGTGCTCTTATGTCAGGGACAGGAGAATGTCCAGTTCACAGGCCAACTTTGAATGGCAAACTACCTTGTGTGAACGAAGCACAGTGGAAGGCAGGGACTGACACAGAGCCATCCTCTGATCTCATAGATGTGTGGCAGCATACGCGCCATCCTCCAAATTTTAAAAAAGAAAGAGAAAGCTGCCAGCCTCACCTTCTTTGTGCCTGGGAAAGACACAGTGACTGTGGTGAAGACACTCTGCTTGGCTGATCCGCTAACGTGGCCAAGATAAAGTTCGCCTCCAAGAGCATGTCGTCAATACTCAAAACAACCGGTCTAGAAGGACAATCAGCACAAACCATGCTCATTTCTGACAGTGTTAGGAACACATCAGCAAATTCCACCAGCTAAGGGATAAAGACAGCAGGTGCTCCGTCCATGTTTGCACAGGTCAGTAGTCCTGAGAGCTGGGAAGCACTTAGCGACCACAGGGAACCGATCTGATTCAATTTTAGTTCTGAACTACATTAAAGGCTTACACAGAGCTCACGTGTTTGAGCAATGTATAATTTCCTAATTAGACAATTTTGTCAGGAGCAGTCAAATGTTTCACATTGCAGAAGAATTAACATTCTTGGTCAAAGTACCAAATTACTAATGTTTGTTTCCTTGAGACAAGGTCCCATAGCACTTGCTGGCCTCAGACTCACTGTGTAGCCAAAGCTGACCTTGAACTCCTGATTCCACTGTCTCCACCTCCCACATGCCAGGACTGCAGCATGTGCTACCACATCTGGTCCAATTACCAATTTTAAAGCACCATGTTATAGCATCTTTTAAACTTTTCGTTTGATAAATGTTGCTAGTAAAGTTGAAAAAGTCCTGGGGTGTGACATCAACTTCACCATGCTCCATTTGTTTTGGTGACAAAAGGAAAGATACAGAGTTCTTGAGGACCTACTTCCCAGGAAAGTCAAAGTAGATGGCTATGGGAGTGTGCATCACTTCTGAAAAGGTGAGGATCCCCTGCAGGGAGAGGAGGAGAAAGTGGGAATCATTCCTTTACAAGTACTACGGAAAACTCGAGTTTGACTTCAGCAGAAGCATTTGCTTACCTTTAGTTCTTTAAAGCAAAATGTTATTTCGGTATCAAGTCCAACTTGAAAAAAGTCAAACTCTTCTGGGCCGAAAGACATCTCACTGTACACAGAACTGCTTAAATCTGTTTGACGTAGGGAAAGAAAGGTTAAAACTGGACGAGAGGCATGTGCTAACGTTTAGCACAAACATGTAGTTTGTGAGTTAATCATAGCCAGGGAGCCTATGCTCTTCTTTCAAGGTGAGGTTTAAGGCACCCTGCCCCACGAATCTGGGTAGCCTGGTCTAATCAGGGAAAGGCAAGGCTCAGCCACGCCCATAGCAGGCCAGTCCCAGCGGCTGCCCTGTGTGCGGCCTTTAGGTTTTCAGATGCTTCCAGCTTCACATTGTCTAACCACAGCTTCAGGAGGCCTCAAGTGGCAACTGCCCAGCTGAGTCTAAATAGCCTGCAGAGTCCTGAGGGGTAAGAAAGGACTGTCCCAGTTACTGTGTTTTGGGATGGCTTTCTGTCAGCAATAAATAACCAGAATACTGTAACAACAAACCTTTTTTTAAGTTTTTAGTGAGGCAGGGTCTCATGTAGCCCAGGTTGGCTTCAAAATCATTATGTGACCAAAGGTGGCTTTGAACTCCTAACCCTCCCTGCCTCCATCTCCCAAGTGCTGGAATTACAGGCCTGGGGTGCTATACATCGTAAAGCTAATTCTTACAGGGACTACTATAATATAGTTCACATGTAAAAACAAGTTATAGTTTAGTAGTGAACTATAGCCCATGTTGTTTTAAAATGTTAAAAATTTAAAACCTCTCAAAAAATTTATAAAAATGAATTAAAAGATAAAAGGTAATCAGACTAATTTAGAAAAATATGGCTTAAAAGGTGAACTTAGGGTTCAAGGCCAACTTAGCAACTTAGCCCTTGTCTCAAAATAAAAGCTAAAAATATAGCTAGAAGCCATCATACCTATAATCTAGCATCTAGAAGGCTGAGGCAGGGGGACTACCACCAGTTCAAGGCCAGTGAGTTAAGCCACTCAGTGAGTTCTAAGCCAGGCTGAGCTAATGTGAGACCCTGTCTCAAAAAAGAGAGGGGCGGGAGGACCTGGAGACCGGTGGTGGAGTGCTTGCCCACCATGTGTGAGGCATGGGTTCAATACCCAGCACAGGAAAAAGAGGCCAAGGAGGAAGAAGACAGTAGAAGGAGGGGAGCACTGGTGACAAACCACATTATCCTAGCTCTCAGGAGGGTCACAGGTTCAAGACAAGGCCCGTTACACAGATTCCTCAGGATAAATGAGAAAAAAGAAAATGCCTTCTTATAGAATTGGAGAAAGTATCTGCCATTCATATATGTGCTAAAGGGCTGGTAGAGTAACTGGATGACATTATCCCAGGGAAGAGGGCACGAGTCTGAACAGACAGTTCTCCAAAGATATATGGTGACAACAGTCCCCTAGGAAGCTGGACATCATTACATTCAGGAAACAAATCAAACCCACAACTGGAAGCTACTTCATACCCACCAAACTCCAAAGATGGCCGATAGCAAGTATTGTCAAGGGAGTGGAGAAACCTGAACCTCATCACTGCTTGGGGGTAATAAAATGGTTGGTATTTCCACCACTGGAAAACATCTGGCCATTTCCACAAGGCTAAATGGAAAGTTATGATATGACTCAGCAATTTTACTCCTAAATCTATGTCCAAGAGAAAACAGATGTCTACACACAGGCTTGTATATGGCTATTCATGGCAGCATAATTCCTAAGTCACAAACTGAAACCACCGAAAGATTCATCAAATGGCCAATGGATATAGAAAATGTACCACATCCATGTAAGGGAATATTAGTAAATGATGAAAAGAAATGAAGTAAAGATGACAGTACAAAAACCTAAAAAGCCTGCTGAATGTGAGAGTGCAGACACGAAAAGGAACACGTTATGATGTCATGTCTCTGAAATGTCCAGTCTGGACAACCCACAGAGACAGACAGTAGCAAGCCCTAGGGCTGAGATGGGGGTGGACTATTTTAATTATAATGGCTGTACATCTACAGGTATACTAAGTGACTACTTGAAATGATCTATTGTAGATGTGTGGTATATCATAATAAAGCTGCTTCTTCAAAAGAATGATGAGGGACTTGCCCAGACTCAAAGTCCTTCCTTCACAATGAACTTTTTTGTTTGCTTGCTTTTCGAGACAGTTTCCCTGTGTACCCAGGCTGTAGTGGGTAGCTGTTGGAGCCATGCCCTGAAGCATCATCCCTAGTGAGGCAGCTGTAGCTGTTGTATTTGCCTATGACTTTGAGGTATCTGCCCCTGGGGACCCTTAAGACATGTATGTATGCCTTCTCTTGGCTACCTTGTGGTTTTGGATGCTGAGATCTTGGATCAAGCCGTTCAGCGTGGGACATAGCTCAGCTTTTCAGGGCCCTATGATAAATCTCCTGTGGTTGTGAGTTTACCCCCAAATAAATTCCTTTGATCATTAAGCTGATTCTGGGGATTGCTAGCAATTTAATCACATGATCCTGGCTGTCCTGTAACTCACTCTGTAGACCAGGCTGGCCTCGAGATCCACCTGCCTCTGCCTCCTGAGGGCTGGGATTAAAGGTGTGTGCCACCACTGCCCCTTGAGGACAATGAACTTTTACCCAGTGAGCATGGCCCTTCTGAAGGTGAGATGCTTCATTCACTCTGCACTTTATACTTTCACTATCAATTACGCTTAATGCACTTACCCACAAGAGACAAACAAAGTCACAAAGGTAACTAGAAAAACAATTAGCTCTAGATCCTCTTTCACGACTTATGTCCTTTTCCTGCATTCTAGCCTTCCTCATCACCTTGATGTCACCCTTCCTTGTTCTCCTTTCTACATGTTATGCTGTATCCACACATACATTTGTTTACATATGTACATCTATATGTTATACTGTAGATTCTACATATGAGGGAGAACATGTGGTTTTCCCTCTGTGGTTGGGTGACCTCTCTATATCATATGGTCTAAGTCCATCCATTTTCCTTCAAATTTTGTGATTTCATTTTTCTCTAGAGCTAAATAATATTCCATTTTTTGTTTTTGTTTTTGTTTTACCGAGACAGGGTTTCTCTGTGTAGCTTTGGGGCCTGTCCTGGATATCGCTCTGTAGACCAGGTTGGCCTCGAACTCCCAGAGATCTGCCTGGCTCTGCCTCCCGAGTGCTGGGATTAAAGGTGTGCGCCACTACTGCCCGGCCTCTTTTAATATTTCTTAGTGCTGCAGCGCCTCACCCAGGTTCCGGGGTGTGCAGTCTCAAGTATAGAAGATGCTTCCCCTCCACAAGAGGGCTCATGCCACAGCTAGTGTTGTAGCAGAGGAAACCCAATAGCAAGATCAGATGGTGGCTAGTCAGTCACCGCTGTAGCCACTCATTAGAAAGTGCCTCTTGCCGGGCGGTGTGGAGTCATGAGAAGCAGGAACACGAACTCACACAAGGCAGACATCACCCTTACCCAGGGATTCCCCACTCGAACTCTTGAGGCAGAAATTCCCTGGAGTAACAGAAAAGGTGACTTCCTCTTGATTTGACGTTAGAAGAACAATGGCCTCAGCCAGCAATCTGTAAAATGTGAAGAAATGTATTGACATTATTTGAAAAAGAGCTTTAACCTTACTGGTATTCAAATCTTGACTCTGGAAATAAACAGGCCCGGGTTTAGGAAACTTCCTCCAAAGGTCTGCCTTCTTTCTTCCCGTGAGTGGTTTTAAATTCTACCTGCCTTTGCAGGCCCGCTAAGAGAGCTTAGAAATGAAGGACGTGAGGGACGGCAGTGCCATCTTAGGAAAACATGCAGAAGCTGCAGTGTGAGCAGGACAGGGAGGCTATAGCTGTAAAGGAGACAGTGAATGGAGCTGCTCAAAGACAGCTGATCTCCACTGAGCCAGAGACCCATGTGATGGTTTGAACTGAGATGGCCCCATAAGTCTCAGGCATCTGAATACTTGGTCCCAGTTGGTGGAACTGTTTGGGAAGGATTAGGTGGTGTGGTCTTGTCAGAGGAGGTGTGCCACTTGGGGTGGGCTATGAGGTTTCAAAAGATAGGTGTCAGGGTTGGAGAGAGAGCTCAGCGGTTAAGAGCACTGGCTGCTCTTCCAGAGGACCTGGGTTCAATTCCCAGCACCCACATGGCAGCTCATAACTGTCTATAACTCCAGTTCCAGGGAATCTGACACCTTCAAACAGACATACATGCAGGCAAAACATGAAATGCACATGAAATAAAAATAAATGAATTATTAAAGAAATAAAGACAGGTGGGTGGTGGCACACACCTTTAATCTTAGCACTCAAGAGGAGGCAGAGGTAGGCAGATCTCTGAGTTTGAGGCTGGCCTGGCCTGCAGAGTGAGTTCCAGGACAGTCAGGACTAAAACCCTGCCTCAGAAAAACAAAAACAAAGAAAGTATAGTAGGGGCTGGAGAGACAGCTCAGCAGTTAAGAGCACTGGCTGATCTTGCAGAGGACCCAAGTTCCAGTCCCAACACCCACATTGCTACTCACAACCATTTGTAATTCCAGTTCCAGGGGATCAGCACCCTCTTCTGCCCTCTGAGGGGACCAGGCATGCATGTGAGGCACAGACACACAGCAGACAAAAACTCCCATATACAAAAAATACAATGTTTTAAAATAAAATTACATTATAACAAAACAAAGAGGAACTGCAAGTTCGGCCATCCTTTTGAACTTGAAGTGCTGTTAGATAAAAATGACATTCTTATAGTTTATGCAGGCTTAGTTGTTAGCCTGATGCTAGACATAATTAGCAGTGTATCTTGATGCCACAGTGCCAGCAACAGCGATCATGTTCATTTGGTGACTTCTCCCTTGTTTAAAGGGGGTGTTAGACAAACGCCAAATAAATGTGTTCTGAGCCCAAGTCTTGCTGTGTAGCCCAGGCTGGACTTGAGCTCAATTCTTCTGCCCCAGCTTCCCATGTGCTGGAACACCAAATAATTTCTTTCTTTTGTGTTTATGGGGGTCAAACCCAGAGATCTGTAGGTGTTAGGCAAGAGTTCTGTCCCTGGGTTATACCCCAGACCACAAGATACCAAATAAGTTGATATCAAAACGATGGTGAAACGGATGTGCAAGTGAAAGGGAGGAGAAATGCCAGGCATGGTTGTGTGTGCCTGGAGTCCAGTCCGTGCTCAGACTCCAGGCACGTGGGAGCAGAGGCAGGAGGACTTTCAAGTTCAAGGCTCACTTCAGGTGTGAGACCTTGTCTTAAAAGTCTAAAAAAAAAAAAAAAAAAAAAAAAAAAACCCAAACTGCTAATAAACATAGAATTCTCAGACTCACTATTAACAACGAAAAGGCAACAATGTTACCTCTGAGGCTGTCCAAGTTTGCAGAGATTTATTATTTCCTCTATCTAGAACCCCTGCACTTCTGGTGAGAATGAGAAGTGATATAAACTCCTCAGACGACAACTGAGCTGTCAGAACACATGGGAATTCAAAGTGTGCATCAGCCTCTGACCCACTGACTCCATTTCCAGGACTCTGAGGGGCAGCCTGTACCAGGGCCCTAGCGACCCCCACTTCCCTGGACTTGGCCCTTGCTCCCCTCTCTTGAGTGTGACTGGACCTAGACTCATTTCAGAGAGAGAATCGCAGGAGCTGTGAGGTGGCGGTTCTGGTATGAGTGTGCAAGGCCTGAGGCTTTGGTCTTGGAGCTCCCTCTCTCATCACCTGGCATTTGTGAGGACTCAGGCAGGAACGTGCATGTTTGGGAATGGGTCTTCCTGAGCTTCCAGCAGCCCTACCAGAGTTCGAGAGTGCCTCCCTCCCTCAGGGTGAACCTTCAGATGACACTCACTGTTGCCCAGTGGTGTCTGTCTTCCAACTCAGGAGAGACCTTGACCCAAGGCTACCCAGATAAGACCCAGCTATTTATTTATTTATTTATTTATTTATTTTTTTTTTTGGTTTTCCGAGACAGGGTTTCTCTGTAGCTTTGTGCCTTTCCTGAGACTCACTTGGTAGCCCAGGCTGGCCTCGAACTCGCAGAGATCCGCCTGCCTCTGCCTCCCGAGTGCTGGGATTAAAGGCGTGCGCCACCACCGCCCGGCCAAGACCCAGCTATTTTAACAGAGTAATAAACCCTGACTCTGTAAACCCGTGAAGGCTCTACATTTGGGAAAAATTTGTTCCACAGCAATAGATAATGGATACTATTCTGTTTTCAGAACAGATACGATTCAGCAGTGTTTCTGACAGCAAAAATCAGGAAGCAACCTAAATGTACCCCTGTAAGGTAATGAGTAGGAAATTATAGCTCAGACACGTAATGAAAAAAAAAAAAAGAGCATTACTCAAAATAATGACGTGAACTGATAGGGAAAGATCCTCACAGTAGCTTACATTTCAAAGGCAAGTTTGGGGCCGGAGAGACAGCTGAGCGGTCCTGGGTCATGGCCCTCGCTTACCAAACCTGCTGTCCCGAGTTCCATCCAGGACCCATGTGGTGGAGGGAGAGAACTGACTCCAGCATGCTGTCCTCTGACCGCCACAGGTTAGGCGGCATGTGCATTCACACACGGGGTGGCAAGGGGTAGGATGTGTGCTCCAGGGAGAGTCAGCAGACTGCTGATAGAGAGCTACAGAAGGTGGCAGAGCAGCAAGTCTCACGGTCCTTGTCATTCTTCAGTACAACTGGGTGTGCGGCAGTAACAAGGTTCCTTTTGTAATTTAAAAAAGCAGCAAGATAAAATCCACTTTGCTCCAGAGTCATGCTAATTAATAGTCAATGCTGCAACTGAACTGAATGACTAAGCAGCCTTTCACCGACAAATATGGCTCTCTCTCTACCTAGGCAAAAACTGAAGAAAATCGATTTGCATAAGAATGTTCAGAGTTCCTCAAACTGTGTGTTCCAAGGCTCAGACTGAAGCTGTATAGGTATGAACTGTCACAATAGATTTCCCTATTTGGCTGGCCTCTAAGTGTGAAACCACGGGTGGGGGTTCCAGAGCTGCTGGCCCCGACCTCCTGCCTTTAAGCACTTGTCACCTGTCTTTCTCAAGCTTCCTGACAATGTCACTGATCGCTCGAAGTCACGGGTCAGCCTTTTAGAAAGTGTAACTAGTGAGAAAGTCCTAGGAGGGTATGGGGGCAAGAGAGGGTAACGGGGTGAGTGTGACCAATGTACAATGTACACAACATGAAATGTCATTTTGTGTATTGACTTAAAAAGCATCTTTAAAAGGACAGAAAAGCTCCGGGGCGAACTGTTCCCTGCCTGAGGACGCTGTGTTCAGAAGAGGAAGAGGTGTCAGGAGACCCGTTACCTTGGTCTAATCATCAGGATATTGGCACACAAGCTCTTTTCAAAGAGAATTTTCAAGGGCTGGCTGTCTTGGAAATACACATTGTGCGTTCTTTTAATACCTTAAAGAGAACAAAGCAACCTCTTAATAACTGTAAGTGCAAAGTGAACAGGCTTTAAAAGCCTGCCTCTCACAGCTAAATTAAAGCAATAAAATTAATGTTTCCTGTGTGGCAGGTGCATACAACCTGCAGCGGAATGTGGCCTTAATGAAATGTGTTGTTGCCCCCTAGTGGACAAAGAGCAACATGCCACATCCTCTGAGCAAACTAGACCAGGTCTCATCCATCCCAGAGGTCTCAAACGTCATAGCCAAGAATAACCTTCAACTCCTGATCCTCCTGCCTCTACTTCCCAAGTGCTGGGATCACAGGCACGCACCATCATGCTCATGTGCTGGAAATCAAACCCAGGATCTTGCATGATAGGCAAGCACTCTGCAAACTTAGCCACATCTCTAGCCCCTGAAAAGAAACTCCTTAAATGTGTGTGACGCAGTGACTGGTTTACAGGTCATAGAGCGACAACTCCCCCCCCTTACAGGTCATAGAGATACAACTCCCCCCCCCTTACAGGTCATAGAGCGACAACTCCCCCCCTTACAGGTCATAGAGATACAACTCCCCCCCCCTTACAGGTCACAGAGCGACAACTCCCCCCCCTTACAGGTCATAGAGCAACAACTCCCCCCCCTTACAGGTCATAGAGCTACAACTCCCCCCCCCCCTTACAGGTCACAGAGCGACAACTCCCCCCCCTTACAGGTCATAGAGCGACAACTCCCCCCCCTTACAGGTCACAGAGCGACAACTCCCCCCCCCCTTTTTTCTTTTTTTTTGGTTTTTCGAGACAGGGTTTCCCTGTGTAGCTTTGCGCCTTTCCTGGAACTCACTTGGTAGACCAGGCTGGCCTCGAACTCACAGAGATCCGCCTGGCTCTGCCTCCCGAGTGCTGGGATTAAAGGCGTGTGCCCCCCCACCGCCCCGCCTACAACTCCCCTTTTGCATATTTTATTCAGGACTAGACTTCATAGGAACTTTGGCAGTTAGACATCTAAATCTGGTCTGTGATTTCTTTTGACTTTAGGAGCAATAGCAATGCAGGCTGAGCGTTCCTGTCCTAAATGCCTAGTGTTTCAGGGGCTGGAAATATGGCTCAAGATGGTTAAGAGCACTTGTTCTTGCTGAGGACCAGGGTTCAGTTCCCAGCACCCTCATATACCTTACAACTTTATAACTCTGCTTCCAGGGTGTCTAGCACCCTCTTCTGGCCTCTGAGGGCACCAGGCAAACATGTGGCACATAGACAGACATGCAGTGTACATACATGTGAACAATACAGTCAGTCATACATGTAAAATAAAAATATTTTTTAAAAGTGTTTCTGATTTAGAAGGATTTTTTGAACTATTTCTATAGACTTTATAAGTTGAGTATCCCTAATCTGAAAATCAGATTTGGGGGGGCTTTTAGATTCCAACTTTCAGATTAGGGTGCTCTGTGTGCCAGACACTAGGACACATTTTACATGCATTCTCTCTCGACCTCACTGCAGCCCTTCTGGGGAGTGAGGGACTCAAGCTCAGAAGAGAAAACCGCAGGTTGGTAAGGCTAAGTGACTTCTCGAGACTACAGTGTTCTAACAAGTACAGAGCCCATGAGGATACAGGTGTCTTTCAGCTGCTTTCTACAAGGGAGCCTGCAGGCAGCATGATACTGCAGTACAAATGAAAAGATCTAACCAGACAGACGGCTCAGCCAGCTGGCAAAAGTGCTTGCCACCAAATCTGACGGTCTTAGTTTGACCACACTAAATGTATGCACTCACGCACACATACACATTTTTTTTTCACATTTTTTTTTAAAGTTTAAAATTTCTTTAAAAACTGCCAGGGATGGTGGCACACGCCTTTAATCCCAACACTCAGAAGGCAGAGGCAGGAGGATCTCTGTGAGTTCGAGGCCAGCCAGAGCTTGTCAGGTCTCATCTCAAAAAAATAAATAAATAAATAAAACCAGACACATTTCTCAGCTTATGTGTTTGGTGAGATTCTTTGTTGTTTTTGTTTGTTTTGCTGACTAACAAAAAGACAGACTGACTGACTGAGACAGTTTTAACGGTAGCCTTGGCTGCTGGAAACTCACTATGTAGACCAGGCCGGCCTCAGACATTAGTAACCCTGCCTTTGCCTTCCAGTGCTAAGTGTGCACCACAGCACCCAGCAATTACAACTTAATAAATATGCACATTTGTGTATTATCAGGTCTTGGTAATTTGGCTGCTTAACAAACCACTCTGAAATTGAGTTCCTTGTAAACACCTGTTATTTCTCATGATTTTACTAAGAGGTTCTTGAGGTCTACCCTAAGCTTAGCTATGAAGGACCAGCTGGGGTGGGCTTGTTGTCTGTCTGTGGCCTCAGTGGGAGTAACAAGGGTGGCTAAGGCCAAATGGTCTACTCCAGAAATCTATCCTCGGCTTATTCTCCTGTTGGTAGAGACGTCCTGAAGCAGCACTGAAGCTGACTGGTCCGGGCTGGGAACCTATGCAGACCACAGTTGGTATTAAAGTAAGACTGTGGTGAGCTGGGGCTGGAGAGACAGCTCCGTGGTTTAGAGCATTGGCTGCTCTCCCAGAGGAAAGGGTTGAACTCCTGCACCCATATGGCTGTAACCCAACCATTCATAACTCTAGTTGCAGATAGCCTGATGCCCCCTTTTGGCCTCCCCAGGCATTGCATACATATGATACATGTATGGATGTTATCTATGTGGGCAAAACACCCATATACATTTAAAAAAAAAAGCCTGAGATTCAAAGTGGGGAACAAGATTCCAATTTCTTAAGTGAAGGGCTGCAGATAATTTGGCAACTTTTTTTTTTTTTTTGGTTTTTCGAGGCAGGATTTCTCTGTGTAGCTTTGCGCCTTTCCTGGAACTTGCTTGGTAGCCCCGGCTGGCCTCGAACTCACAGAGATCTGCCTGGCTCTGCCTCCCAAGTGCTGGGATTAAAGGCGTGCGCCACCACCGCCCGGCTAATTTGGCAACTTTTATAGGTAACCACAGAGGGATGATTTTAGGAGCTTGAAGTAGCAATACAGGGGAAGTTGGGATGGCAAACTAAGGTTATAAAGGATCTACTAAGCAAGCGGGGCGGTGGTGGCACATGCCTTTAATCCCAGCACTCGGGAGGCAGAGGCAGGCGGATCTCTGTGAGTTCGAGGCCAGCCTGGTCTATAGAGCCAGATCCAGGACAGCTCCAAAACAAAAACAAAAACAAAAACAAAAACAAAAACAAGAACAAGAGCTGGAGAGATGGCTCAGAGGTTAAGAGCACTGGCTGTTCTTCCAGAGGTCCTGAGTTCAATTCCCAGCAACCACATGGTGGTTCACAACCATCTGTAATGAGATCTGGTGCCCTCTTCTGGCCTGCAGGCATACATGCTGTATACACAATAAATAAATAAATCTTAAAAAAAAAAAAAAAACAAAGAGGCAGGCGGATCTCTGTGAGTTCGAGGCCAGCCTGGTCTACAAAGTTAGTTCCAGGACAGCCAGGGCTACACAGATCAATCCTGTCTCGAAAAACAAAACGAACAAGATGTGTTCACTAAGACTGCCTCTGGCCATTAGGACCATCCCCATATCAAAGAGGACAGCTGGCCATTAGGCCCATCTCCTTATCAAAGGGCACAGCTGGCCATTAGGCCCATCCCCATATCAAAGAGCATGCCTCTATGGTGCTGTTCAAAGTGGGCAGCACTGGGTCAGGACCTGGCGCCAGCAAGTCCTGGTCCATTATTAAGTTCAGGTTCTCTTAGCAGAAATAGAATAATTCTTCCCAGCCACAGACAACCTTGGTGAACAACTTCCCTGGAAAAGCAGCCCTGGTATACTCCAGGATAACTATCACAGTATTTTACACTGTAAATCTAAATCTCTCCATTTGTTCCAACAGCTAAACCTTGGAATTTGTCTCTGTGAAACATGTTTAATTGTGCAAAGTGTAACTTGAAGCCACAAAACTACGTAAGCTGATGGGACTTTTGGTCGGGGTTGGTTCCCTTTTGTGCATTAGCCAGAACCAGTCACCTGCTATCAAGTTTTTCCTTTACTAATCTCTAAGCCTGGCATGACTTCTCACTGGGAAGGCAAGTTAATTCTATAACACCAACAGAGAACAAATCCAACAAAACCTGTGCTCTCGGATCTTTTTGTTTAAAAAGATTTATTATTTATTTATCTGTATGTATGTGCATGTCCACGTAGGTGCCCAAGGAGACTGGAAGAGGGCATTGGATGCCCTGGAGCTGGAGTTATAGGTGCATGTACTGCCCAATGTGGGCACAGGGAAATGAACTCCTCTAACGAAATATCAGCAAATGCCACTAACCACTCTTAACCATCCAGCCCCTAAGTTTTTTTCAATATTTGTTTTTGTCTGTTTTGGGGGGGTTTCATGTGCCATGGCATATGTGTGGAGGTCAAATGACAATGTTTAGAGTCAGTTCACTCCCACCATATGGGTTCCAGGGACTGAACTCAGGTCATCAGAGTTGGCAGCAAGAGCCTTTACTGGCTAGGCCATCTTGCTGGGCCCTCAGACCTTAAGAAACTGACAGGGTTGGTTTGTTTGAGTTGTAAAACAAAGGCTGTGCGGAGCTGAACACTCATCCTAGGAAACATTCCAGCGCTCTTGGTCCCCGGACAACAGTATAGGCCATTTCAAGGTCACTGGCTTTTCTCTGGCTAAAATGAGAAGATATTTCAGAGTTTTGAACTCTGGAATGATATACTCACCATCTGGCTCTTTTTGTGTGTGGGACAGGATTTTGATGTGTAGCCTTGGCTTTCCTGGTACTCATTCAGAGGCCAGGCTGGCCTCAAACTGAAGATCCTTCGGCTTCAGCCTCTTGAGAGCTAGGTTTACCCATGTGTGTTCCACTGTCCCACCACTACACTCAGCAGTGTGAGCCCTGACTGGCCTGGAACTGGGGTTCACTATGTAGACTAGGCTGACCTCCAGAGCTCACTGCCTAGAGATTTTTGACTCACAGAGCTCTAATGCCTCTGCCTCCCAAGAGCTGGCATTAAAGACAGACCACCAAGCCCGGCCTCATCTGACTCATTTTAAAGAAAGCACTGGGGCTGCTATTTTGGGAAAACACTAAGCTCCAAAGTTGACAAATCTCCCCTGCCGTAGAAATAGTTCTGTGTCACGTATGCTGAGGTGTACATGGTGGGAACCAGGAAGGAACCCTCCATGGAAGCAGCTGCTGCCGTTGTCAGGAGGTGTGCTTTAGAAATCACCGATATGAGCCGGTGTGGTGGTGCACGGCTTTAATCCCAGCACTGGGGAGGCAGAGACAGGTGGATCTCTGAGTTCAAGGCCAGCCAGGTCTACAGAGTGAGTTCCAGGACAGCTAGGGCTGCACAGAGAAACCCTGTCTCAAAAAAAAAAAAAAAAAAAGAGGAGGAGGAGGAGGAAAAAGAAGAAGAGGAAGACAAAAAGACACAGAAATCACCTCTGTGCAGTTCAGCACTTCTCTCGGTGGCTCTGAGACGCTCAAACAGTTGACTTGAGGAACCAGCGTTACTGCACAGCTGCTTTATTGTGAGCCTGCGCTTTCCAAGGTGGTGGGTTAGTCAGGGCTTTCTAACCAAGTTGAAGTCATTAGCAGACCTGCAGGCTACCTTGCAACAAAACCCTACAAGACTCCAGCCTCCACTTTCACGAATGCGTGTGCCTGAGTCAGGGCTTCGTTTTCTCTGGACCCACTGAGCCCTTCCCTTCGGAAGCCCCTTTCTGTGTAGGCCTGTCTCTTGAGCTGGCACAGAACTTATGTGAAGAGCGAGTTCTTCAGGGACACTCTGAAGAACTCGTGCTGAGCAACTCTGTGGCCAGTGCAAAAGGACAAGAGAAGGTTGGGAGAAGCAATAACAGGTGAGCTGAATCTTTAGGAGGAACAGTCTTTTTTTTCTCTCTTAGCACAAGTCTGGCAATCCCAGCCTGGAGGCTGTTTATGATTAGAGTGAAGGGGACTAGTCCTGTGCGGCAGCTCATGTCTGGGCAATTGTTTTCCACTAACTGAGCTAAACTGCATTCACTAACTTTTAACCCCACCCCCAAGTTTCAATCTGTATCTCCAGCAGCTAACTGACTGTCTTCTCAGTGACTTTCTCAACTGAACTCGAACAATGTCTCTACCCAGCTGATTGGCATGAAGTTGCATAATCTGCAAATCATGGCCGCTTTAGATAGAACTAGCCCGAGACTGGAGCATCATCCATGCCCCAGGGCCCTTCCTCTGAGTCCTCCCTCCCTGCCAGCTCCAGGACTCTGGCTAAACCTGTCCAGCAGAATGTGGCTCAGATATGGCAGTTGGCCAAGTGGATGACAACACTAGCCCCTGGCTACCAGGTGGAGTCCAGGTTGGTCTAGATCATAGCAAAGTCATGCATTTTTGTCAAGAGATGTACAAGGCAAAGGTTTAGAAAGCTCCTGGTGTGGAAGAAGCATCTGTCCCTGCTGCTGGAGGAAGTCACTGTTACAAGTTTTGTTGTGGTGGTGCTGAACTCTGTGGAGGCAGAGAGAAAAAGATGAAGAGGAGGAGAAGGAAGGAAGGAAAGGAAGGAGGATGAGGAAGAAGACAAAGAAGAAGGTGAGGAGAAGAGGGAGGAGGAGGGAAGAGGAAGAAGGAAAAGAGGGAGACAAGGGAGGAAGAGGAGGCATGAGAACCAGCAGCAGCAGCAGCTGGGGCAGCCTGGACTGAACCATGGCTACAGCATAACTTCAAACTTTCACCTGAGCCAATGTTACTGAGCGGAACTGGCTGATTTCCCCCACTTCTGTTCTTTGTATCTTAAAGCATCCTATATAATAGAACCACCCTATAAAAAACTATCTTAACTGAATCAATCACAAATATTTCTTCTTTTATCTTTTGCTTGTGTTTTAAGCAGAGATTCAGGTATTCCAGGCTGGCCAGGAACATGCTATGTAGCTAAGAATGACCTTGGACTTCTGATCCCCTGCCTCTAACTTCCTCAAGTACTGGGATTATAGGCTCACACCACTAAGCCCAGTATGCAAATATTTCCTGGGAGTAGCTCTAAAAGAGCCAGATTTGAGACACTGCAGATACTGAACAGCTGGTTCTCGGAAACTCACCTGGAAGGGAAGGAGGAGGAGAACGCACTAATAGTCATGGTTGATGAGCATTCACTCTGTATCAGGCTCTGTGCCTGTCCCTGTGGGACCTGACTTTCTCCTCACAGCAGCCTGTGGCATGAGGGCAAAGCCGCCCCCAGTATGCACGGCAGAAAGGGGAGGCTCTGGGAGCTTATGTTCTTCCACAGGGCTACCAAGCAGTGGTTCGGAATCCACAGCTGCATTCTGTGACACTCAGCCCTGCTGCCCTTTGAAGTTCTCTCTTTACATGATGTGCTATTACATGGATTTAGATTCAAAGAAGGGGAAATAATGTTACACCATTCATATTTATAGAGAAAATTTAAGGGTTATAAAAACACACTGAAATAAAAATATATTATTAAGGGCTGGAGAGATGGCTCAGCGGTTAAGAGCACTGACTGCTCTTCCAGAGGTCCTGAGTTCAATTCCCAGCAACCACATGGTGGCTCACAACCATCTGTAATGAGATCTGGCGCCCTCTTCTGGTGCGCAGGCATACATGCAGGCAGAACACTGTATACATAATAAATACATAAATCTTTAAAAAAAAAAATATATATATATATATATAATTAAGATGAGTATAAGTCAAAATTAAAAAACGGGATTCTAGGGGCTGGAGAGATGGTTCAGCAGTTAAGAGCACTTGATACTCTTCCAGAGGACCTGGGTTCAATTCCCAGCACCCACCTGGCAGCTCACAACTGCCTATAACTCCTGTTTCAGAGGATCCAACACCTTCACACAGACATACATGCAGAAAAACAGTGTTGTACATAAAATACAAGTAAATAAATTTTTTTTAAAAAAGCAATGGGATTCTAAGTCTTATCACCTTCTGTAAGACCATTCCTGAACAAAGAAGATTTGGGCCAATGTTACAGCTCTGAATTCATTTTTCTGAGACAAGATCTCACTAAAACAGGGAACCTGAAACTAGCTATATAGCTACACAGGCCTCTAACTCATCCCACTGCGTCAGCCACTTCAGTCCTAAGTTCAGAAATGTGTGCCATCACATCCAGCTGGAAAAACCAATGTAGACTCAATCGGACATTTGTGTAGGGGTCCTGTGTCATGCGCGCGCACGTGTGTGTGTGTGTGTGTGTGTGTGTGTGTGTGTGTGTGTGTGTGTGTGTGTGTGTAAGACTAGATCTCAGGTATCAATCCTCAGGGCCTGTTCACCTTTTCCCCTCTCACTGGTCTGAGGCTCACCAAGCAGGCTAGGCTGCCTGGACAGCGAGCCCCAGGAGTCTGCTTGTTTCTGCCTCTGCAGCATCACAACTACAAGCATGTGTCATCATACCTAGACTTTTGTTGTTTGTTTTGTTTTTGAGACAAGAATTTCCCTGTGTAGCCCTGGTTGTCCTGGAACTTGCTCTGTAGACCAGGCTGGCCTCGAACTCAGAGATCCGCCTGGCTCTGCCTCCCGAGTGCTGGGATTAAAGGTGTGCACCACCAACACCCAGCTAGATTTTTTTTTTTTTTTTTTTGTTTTGTTTTTCCGAGACAGGGTTTCTCTGTGTAGCTTTGTGCCTTTCCTGGAACTCACTTGGTAGCCCAGGCTGGCCTCGAACTCACAGAGATCCGCCTGGCTCTGCCTCCCGAGTGCTGGGATTAAAGGCGTGCGCCACCACCGCCTGGCTAGATTTTTTTTTTTTAACACAGGTTCTGGGGATCAAATTCAGACTCATGTGTTTGTAAGGCTGACTGGCCCATCTCCCCAGTTGGACATTTTTTTAAATCTCCTTTGGTTTGCAGGCAGACTACCTTGTGTCGTGAAGTACTAAGGAAGAGCGGCAGCCACCTTACAGTACAGCAGAGACAGGTGGCACCGCTGTCACACTCCATACTTGTCCCTACCTCACCTCACAGTAAGTCTGCATACTGAATGCATAAAAATGCTACGAAGCACACAGCTTCCGGGGGCACCTACCATGCCTGCAGAAGAACTGAAAGACGACTCTGCATTTATCCGTTCTGGCGACTATTCTGCACTTCTCTACACTTCTTTCAAGATAATTCAGACACCTAAAGATTGGCAGAATTGACTGCAACACAAATACATGGTACATATTAAACTCATACTTAGTATGGCTGTCCCATTAACTTTTTAAAACGCAACAGATGAAAAGTCTGTGTATTCACAGATGGCACTGGAATAATTACATACAGTACAGCTATTATGTCCTACAAAAACGAGTATTTCTCCCATATAAGAGAAAACCAACTGTTTTTACCTTTATTGCCAATTTGCAGTTTAAATTCATGGGTATGTCATTATCACTCATCATGGCGGAGGGTGACCATTGATAATGTTGAAAAAACAAAGACGAGAACAGGACACAGCCATATGTTGAATGAGAGGAATTCACAGATCTCAGAGCAAGCTGGAAAAAAAAATGTTAGTTATTTCAGAGAAATCCAACTTCTATCCTGAATTAATCCTATTATGAATACGATGCCACAAATATATTTAGATGAAACCAAGTGCATTGAACTTACACATGGGCACCTATGTGTGTATCCATACTGAATACAAATTTATAAACTCTATAATCCTAAACCGAAACTGTAAAGTGACCATAATGTTAATGCATGAAAGGGTAAGAATGGGATAGGAAAGAGCCCTGATGGACGGACTATCTCATACCTTGTTTAAGGGGAGAAGCTACCACTCGGTTCAGCCATCCTGGGAATGCGTGCCTGGAACTGTCAGGTTCTGGATTTTCAAGCGCTTGGGACTGTGCCCACCACCTGTGTCCCTGGACTTGGCTCTTTCAAACCTGTTCTCCTGCTTTAATGTATGATCCATCACTTTCTGAATTTATTTTGGCTTGTAAGACAGGTTCTCGTAGTGCAAACTGGTCTCAAATTCCCTGTGTAGCTGGCTGAGCTCCGCCTCCCTGGTGCTGGGATTACAGGCCTGCGCCACCACACCTCGCTTTTTTTTTTTTTTTTTTTTTTTTTGGTTTTCCGAGACAGGGTTTCTCTGTAGTTTTGCGCCTTTCCTGGATCTCACTTTGTAGACCAGGCTGGCCTCGAACTCACAGAGATCCTCCTGCCTCTGCCTCCCGAGTGCTGGGATTAAAGGCGTGCGCCTCCACCGCCCGGTACACCTCGCTTTTTTAACTGGACTTACTTACACCTTTCTCAGATGGGTCTAGCCACAGGTCATCACTCACTCGTGATAAGGTCTGTATTGCTTTCCCAAACACTACGGAGGAAAAGAAAGGTGCTGTTTATATTCTTTCTAGCAGTAAGGATAAATTGCAGGACTACTTCCGCACACACAGGACTCGAACGAAAAACAGGAAAGGACAGTGGGATCAACTGATCATGTCGGTCAAACTCTTCAGTGGGTTCTACAGTTGAGCTCTTTGTTACCACCCTGTGGGTAAGATTCCCAGAGATGGAAATAGGGGCTTTTGGTATTGAAGAAACTACTCATCAACCAAAGTTCTAGTTATCTGGAAATTGTGGGCAACCATCCTACCCAAACTTTAAGGCCTATTCTATGCCACCTGCTTCAGCGTGGCTCTACCATTCACTGTGAGCTTGATCTTGGGCAAAAAGCTGGAAAGTAACTGGTTACCACTCCCTTTGACTCGTGGGCTATATAGACCGTAACAACATTCAGCATGTTGGCCTCCAGTATGATCAGGTTAGACCATAATGATCTCAACTTTGATGCTGTGTCAAGTCCTAGCAAGGTTCATCACCATGAGAGGAATTCAGCATAAAGCGGCCAAATGTATGTGATGCCGCTGAGTGGTTTGAAATCCCCTTTTTCTGACTATGTCTTAACAATTTCCCATTAAGTGATGGCATTGGACTTTTAGGTTTAGGGTGGAACAAAGCTCAGGATACACCTGAGAGTTAAATTAGTCAGCTGATCTATATGGTATTTTATAGATTAATTTACCTTTGGTAAAACCTTATAGTACCCTTTATGTATATAGTAAGAATTCAATAAATCTGCAGTGATATAAAATTCAACGAAATTATTTCCCCTGCAAGCCCACTTCCATGCTAATGCTTTCATTCATTTTCCTTTTGGGTTCTCCCACCCTCTGCAGGGGGATGGAACCCAGGGTCTTATACATGCCAGGCAAGCTGTCTGTCTACCCACGAACCCTGTCTCGAGCCCAGTCATTCCCTTCTATAAGGCTATGTACAATATAGTTCCCCACATCGTCCTTCTAATTACTGAGTTCAATTTATGTATTTCTTTCTTTCTTTTTTGAGGGGTTTTTCGAGACAGGGTTTCTTTGTGTAGTTTTGGTGCTTGTCCTGGATCTCATTCTGTAGACCAGGCTGGCCTCGAACTCACAGAGATCCGCTCTGCCTCCCGAGTGCTGGGATTAAGGGCGTGTGCCACCACCGCCCGGGGAAGGTGTTAAGATGAGTCTCATTTTCCAATTGCGGAAACTGAGATTCAAAGTGACACAGTAGCTTGATCTAGATCCTATATTTAAAACAACAACAACTAAAATTTCTCCGGCAGGATCTCGCACAGAGATCGGGTTGTTTTCCCTGCGCTCAAAAATACTTTTGCTGGTCAAGCGCTAACTTGCCTCTCAACTTCTCCCCACATTCGCCCTCCTCAACCCTAGCTTAAGGTCCAAAATGCCACAGTTCATTTCACGGCCCCCACATTTCTAGGCATAACCAAAGAAAAAGGGACTGTCACGCTATTGGAAGGGAAGCCCAGCAGGGCGCTCGTGAGGGGCGGAGGGGCCCGGGCTCTGCGTCCTCAGTCCCGGCGAAGCGTGGCCGAGGAAGCGTGAGAAGACGATGGGGGACACTCCCCAGACGTCAGGCTCCCCCCTCTCCTACGCAGCAAAGCAAGAACGGCCGCTCCACCTTTCACCTGACCGCCCGTCATCTCGCACTTCAGCATGGCGACCGGGAGCGCCGGCATGGCGGACGGAAGCGCGCCCGCCGCAGGTTCCCCGGATGTTACCCGCCCTTCCCGCGACGGCCGCGGCCCCGACCTGGCGCCCCACCTGCGGTGACTTCCTCCCAGCGCGGTTTCGCTTTCTGACGGGGAGCGGCCCTTACGGGCCCCCGTAGCACAGTCTCTGGCCAACTCCGCGCCTTATTGGTGGCGGGAGGAGTGGGCGGGCCCACTGAGCAGCCCCGGGGAAGAGGGCGGCGGCGTTCGTGGTGACTGAACGAAGCCCGGTGACAGGATGGTGAGCACTCCGCTGGCGGCGGCGGCGGCGGCAGCGGCGACCCGGGTCGGGCCAAGGAGGCTGCGGCGTCGGGGCCGAGGACGATCCGGGAGGCTGGGGCGGGGCGCGGCCGCGGCGCGGGCCTGGAAGGCCGCGGAGGGAGGGGAGGATCGCGGCTGGCCGAGGGTGCGGCCCGGCCTGGCGTCGCCCCTCGCCCCCAGCGGCCAGAGGGCGTGCAGGGAGGACCCGGGCCGCTCGTCCTGTCACGAGATCGGCTCGCTGTGGCCGTGACGCGGGGGAGAGGCCTCGGGCCGGCAGTGTGGCCGGACGTCTCCCTCCCGCTTCTCCAGGGCTTAGCTGGGGGACAGCCGGCCTCGGTGCAGAACGAGAGAAGTAGCCGCTGCCCCGGCCGCTCCGGGCCGGGACCCGGAAGGGGACTGCTTGTCTCCTGTGGCTGCTGCGACCCCTCAGAGCGAACTCGTGGGGATCGTTTGAAGTCGGAGAAGATGCGCGTGTTGTTTGGAGAGCTTTAGCCTCCCCAGTGTGCATCAGGCCTTTTTGCACCCCCCCCCCAACCCCAACCCCATAGATTGCTGCCCCTACGACCTTGCTGTATGGAATCTGGGGAGCAGACACGACCCAGTCATCAGACTTTTTAAGGTGTCCTTTGCTCTCTAAAGTTTGGAGAGGGTTTCTGTTGAGCTTTGCTGTTTGTGCTGATGAAGCGAAGGCGCCTCTCTGGCTGATGGGCACGCGTTGCGTTTTTTACAGAGATTATTCTTGTTCAAACGACCTTTGAAAAGGTGGTTGGTTTATAAGCCTTCCCAAGATGTATGCTTAAAGTCACCGGATTTTTTGCTTCTAAACAGACTCCAGTTTAAAGTAGACTAGTTAATTTATGGCAATTTGGAAACACTTCCAGGGGAGAGGAATTAGCTGTCATGATCCATGTTTCTGAAGTCGTTTTGAGAAGTGAACACATGTTTAAGAGTCGCTGCCCTGCTGTTCATCACGTTTCTTTTAAAAATTCATTTCTTTTTATTTTTTTGTGTATGTGTGTGTCTGCATGAGTTTATGTGCACCACCCAAGTACAGGTGCCATTGGAAGCCAGAGGGCTTGGGATCCCCAGAACTGGAGTTACAGGCAATTGTGAGATGCCATGTGGATCCTGGGAACCAAATCCCGGTCCTTTGCAAGATCAGCAAGTGCTTTTTAACTGCTGAGCCATCTCTTGAAGCCTAAGTCAGGCTATTAGGATGTAGCCCCTAGCTGGCCTGAAATTCACAGAGATCTGCCTGCCTCTGTCTCCTGAGTGCTGGCAGCAAGGGAGTGTTGTGCCAGCACATTCAGCGTGTGTTGGTTTTTATTGTCTTGATCTTTCCTTGACATTTTCATCACTAGATTATGTACTCGTGTTAGTAATGTCTTTTATAGCAAATAATAACTTCCCCATGGAGCATGGTTTTTCACTACATGAACCTCAAACATAAAAAAATAAAATAAAATAAAACCAGCGACAAGATCCGAGGAACTAGGAAAGGATAACTTTAAGCTATTCCCGATGAATTCTTCAAATCATAAATATCTGATCTTACAAAGAGTAAACGGAAGGAGGAATAAAGGGACAGGAGTCAATTTGGAAAGCCAGATTAAAAAATGACATTGGCAAGGCGAATTTGCTGTGTGTGGGTGTTTGTGCTATGTTTAAAAGTAAAGTGAGTCGTTCTTTTGAAATTATTTTCAGCACAGCTGATTTTTAACATTTTCTTCCATAACATTCAGAAATCATTAACAAATTTTGCATATTTGATGTTTTTTTTCTTTTATTTAACTTTTGTTGCTTTCTTTTAACACTGGTCATGTTTCACCCTTTTTTTTTTTTTTTTTTCATTCCCCTGTCTGCAATCAACTTCTTCATTCCACTAAGGCTGGGCACAGAGTAAGTTTCTTTTCTCCGCTCCTACTAACAATGGTGGTTGGGTGGCTGATAACTGATCTCTCAAATAGGAAGTGACCCGATCCCCATGCTGTGTTTGGGTTGTAACAAGACTGCCATTTCCAGACCCTTTGCTGCCTGTCCTGTGTGTCTAACCTGGTTTGTCACCGTGGAATTTAGGCAGGGGCACTGTGACGTCTGTCATGGATTTCTCATAACTTGGTCACCAGCAGAAAACCAAAGGGTTCTGTCCTACCCTGAGTCCTTGATAGTTCCTGTGTGGCCATTTGTCCAGCGACAGTTTTCACATATTAATATTGATGGCACCTCCTAGAATGGGTGTCTTCAGTCATGATACAGTACTGTGTCTCACTGATGTTCTTTTTGGTACTTTCTGACTGAACAGTTCATTTTCAGTCCCAGAGATTTTCAGCCTGTTTTAGACATAGACCCTCTTAGGAGTTCAGAGTTCTTCCTTTTAATATAGAAAATGTTTTTCAGCATCCCACAGTAACTCTGTTCATCAATCCAAATCTGAAGGGATCCCCCTCTAAAATGAAGATTGTTCTATGTCAAGGTACTTGTCTATTGATTGAGGGTGGATACTTTGTAGTCGTTTTAGCTTCCAAAGGTTTCCCCAAAGTGTGCTCATTTTGTGAGCACCTGTTACCTCAGCCATTCTGTGTCCTGATAAGTTTCTTTTCTTTACAGTCATTTTGATTTTTGTTGCCAGATGAATCACGCTTGTTTTAGTAATCATTCTTATTTCATACATTTTGGGTTTTTTTTATTTTGGATTTTAATTAATTTTTTAAAAATTTAGTGACTTTATGTGGATGTGTTTTGTCTGCATGTCTGTCTGTGCACCCGTGTGCCTGGTACCCTCCAAGGCCAGAAGAGGGTGTCAGATCCCTTGGAACTGGAGTTACAGCCAGTTGTGAGTCACCATGTGGGTGCTGGGAATTGAACCCAGGTCTTAACCACTGAACCACTCTCCAGCTGCCAAATTAACAATTTAAAATTAATTTTAACATTGTGGTGGCAAAAGTATTTGTTTTATCAGACTAAACATGTAATGCTTTCTTTGATACTATTCAGGGATAGTCATGCCTTGCAAAGCAGTTAGAGTACGTGCATTGATGAATGGAACATCTGTATGAGGAAGATCCTGTAAGGTGTGCCTATACTATTCAACATGGAAAATCTCTTCTGTTGCTCTTGGGGGAGCATGTGTTATCTTTAAATGAACTTTTAAACAATACTTGGTTCAATCTTGAAATTTTTCAATTTAAAATTACATAGAATTGCCCCTACCCCTTTTTGGACAGGATTTCACTGTGTAGCTTTGGCTGGTCTAGAACTTTCTATGTAGACCAGGCTGGCCCTGAACACACAGACATTTGCCTGCCTCCTCCTCCTTGGTGCTTGAATTAAAGGAGTGAGCCGCCATGCCTGTCTTAGGCTTGGCTTTTTAATTCTTTGATATTCAGAGCAGATTTTATTTTTGTCATCTGAGACTTTGTGGCAACTCTAAACTACCTCCTGCTGAAGTCATCACTCAGTTATCTGGGTTTTTATTTTACTTCTCTAGTGCACAGAAATGATTGTGAAAGGGTTAGTTTTTAACGTTACAGACTATACTGAGAGAGAGGGTGGAAGAAGCAGTTTTATCCAGGTAATATGACAGCGTGGGGGAGGGAGGGTCTAGTGAAAGAAAGTGAAGACAGCAGAACTTATAAACAGATGCACACATGCATCTGGAGACTCCAAAGCATAGGCCTTTGTGCCCTGTAACATACTGCTAAGAGTTTGAAGTAACAAAATCAGTTAATTTTGGCTAATGTTCTCCAAAGAGTTCTTAGCACAAACTATAAAATTAACTTCTCCCCTACTATTTCATTTTTATATTTATATACATACATATATATGTATGTATGTATATTTTTTTGTGATAGTTTCACTTTGCAGCATTGGCTGGCCTAGAACTGGAACTTGCCATGTAGCCCAGGTTGGCCTTGAACTAGCAGTCCTCCTGTGTCAGCCTCCTGAATGCTGGAATTTACAAGCATGAACTACTACACCTTATATATTCTCATTCTCTCCCCCCCCCTCTTTCCCCCATCTCTCTCCTCCCTCCCTCTCTCCCCACTTTTCTTCTTTCTCCTTTTTAAGATGAGGTCTCACTGTATTATCTTTGGCTGGCCTGAAACTCATTTTGTAGACAAGGTTGTCTTCAACTCATGGAGACCCACTTGCCTCTGCCTCCTAAGTGCTAGGATTAAAGTCATGCACCACCACGGCCCAGCCCTATCATTCAATTAAAAACAAAAAACAAAAAAAACCCCAAAACTGTTTTGCCTGCATGTATCTAATCACACCAGCCAGTGCAGTACCTGAGAAGGTCAGAAGAGGGCATCAGATCCACTAGACCTGGAATGAGATGGTTCTGAGCTGCCTTGTGGGTGCTGGGAATTGAACCTGGGACCTCAGCAACAACTGTCAGTGCTCTTACTATCTAACCCATCTCTCTAGGGCCATATTATTTCATTTCTGTAATTTCAACTTTAACAGTGTTTTTGCAGTTAAATAGGTTTTATATTACAGTTGCAGAAAGGATTACTGTGCCATTCTTCAAAACTATTAGATGCTATAGATTCCAGCAGTATATTGTTCAGTTTGCAGTTTTCATTTATTCAGTATAGTTTATAGGTTTCTAACTCAATCTTTTACTTTTTACTTTTTCTGAGACAGTATCTCCCTGTGTGACTGGCTGACCTAGAACTCACTCTGTAGACTAGGCAGGCCTTGAACTTGCCGTGGTCTCTTTCCTCTGCCCCCCTAGTGCTGGGATTGCAGGTGTGTGCTCTCACACTTGGCTAGTGAAACGTTGTAGAAAACTTGATTTTATTCTATTTCTATTGGTAAATAAAATGGCACAACTTTGGATGTCCCAGATAAGATTAGCTTAGAACAGGTATGGTACCACGTGTTTGTTGACCCAGGA